ATAAAGTACATTAATTTGTTTTTGTAAAAGTATTTTAGGTTTCTATAAAAATGCTAGCCATGATTTAATGTGTTATGAGTTAGGCAGATTTCCAAAGTTGAAAATATTGGAATGCTAGGCTAGAATAAAAGCATTTATATGAAATTAGAATTATGCAAATTAGGGTCAGTGTAACTATGGAATAGTAAATTTGATGAAAAAATAATATACAAGCTGATTGGTAACAAATTTAATGAAATCAACATGAAGGAGAATCAATGTAATACTCGTTACTCTTCAAAAGTCTTTATATATCATTATTTGATAGATAATTTTTAGGTTGCAATTCTACTTCAGAAAACCTTGTGGCCATCTGTATAGTGTGGACGTGCTCGCACCTACTGTACCAGCCCCCAGTTCTCAGCCATACAGACAAATATATGGCGAAGTTTCTCCTGAAAATTGGCACATCGATTGGTAATGGTCGTTTGTATCTGATAGTACGCTCAAATTTTCAATAAATTTTCAATATTCTGCATTTGAAACGATTTTCATTATTCAATAGACTAAATATTGTTGAACTCTTATCGAGCTAAAGATAGCTCCTATATACCTGTATACGTACTGAGTGTGCTACTTACCTGTACGCCTACTCAAAGAAGCGTGCCCGAGGCAACTATACGTACAGGTGTTTACTTCATTACATAAAGACAGCTTATACCCTTACCGAATATAATTTTGTAATTGTAAGATATGAGAATTGTATACCAGCAATCCAAACAATGCCTGAAAATGTCGAATAGATAGAGTTATCACCAGTCAGGTTAGAAAATATGGATATGGACTATTCGTGGCAGAACGGACAATTGACAGGAAATCCATCTGAACCCTTTAGTGTCAATAGTACATATGATGACAATATAGACATATAACAAATATCTGATTATGAACCCCCTTCCCAGACACTCGATGTATCAACCAAGATAAAAGCCTACATGCGAGAACTGTGGCGAGAAGCCTAAACGTCTTCTAATTGACCAAATTTTGTGTATGACCAATCGCAGTACACCTACTCCAGTACGCTTACGGCAGGAATTGTTCAATATCGCCATAGAACGCGATTATTTCCTTCATAAAGAGGGATACTTGTGCAAACGTCTTGAACCCCGTATATTTTAAAGTTAGAAAGAGGTATATTCGTTCTCTTTAGTGCTACTGTTGGTGAGTACACAGAAGACCTCAGTGACGTTAATTCCTTCATGAAAACGACAGGCAAATTTCCAGGTCAAAAGTAACAATTTGATAAACGATTCTGAAGTTCCAAAGTTTACGGGAAATATTTGTAAAATGCCCAGTCTACATAAATAATATGAAATGTGAACACAGACATGAAACAAACTCAATGAAAGACGCGATAACAAAGAATGAAAATGAAATACACGTCCTCAAGACGTCTCTACAGAAAGTAGGGAAAGAAAAAGAAGAGGCTAAAGCACGTGGGAAAAGATCGCTAGAGGAGCTCAATTCATGCAAAACTCTAATCGCAAAACTGGAAAAAGAACTTAGTGAATCGCGTGACCAAAACAAAAAACAGACCGAATTGTGGACGAAAAACAAAAACGATATAAATTCGCGTGTGAACCCTCTAAGACAAGAGATTGGTGAATACAACACTGCTAAAACTAACACTGAGAAGAGGATTGGTAACCTCAGCAAAGAAGTGAAAACGGTCGCCGAAAACATCAATTATTTTCTTACAATATCGAACAGAATTGACAATAATCAACTGAATGGCGTCGCAAGCTGTAAAAATCCCCTTAAACTGATGGCTCAAAAGGTGAAATCTGTAGAGGAAGAAATGAGAAGAATGAATGACGTCATACAAGAGACACAAAATCGCGCACAGAACGTCCAACAAGAATTGAACAAATTTGCGAAAGGACAATACAGTAAACAAAAAGTATATATACAAATGACAATGGTAAAATAGTTGGTGACAAAAGAGAAGAACAACCGTTATCTTCAATAGAAACACATGCTCCACTAAGGCGCGATGAACCGGATAAGCCGGCGGAAACCTCCGAACAGTTCTTAGGCTCGCGCAACACAACATTCTCTACAGTCCTTTACACCACAAAATATAGAGTTGAATCAACCTTCTTTGAAGTCAACAGAAGTTGCGAAACCTACTCATCAATCTAGCCATATCAAACCAACGAGAGACGTGGTCAGCCATCAGTCAGGTAAAACCGAACAAAACTCTAATCCCGTCCAAATCAAAAGTCCATTGCCCCTCGTCAGTGTGTCACCCGACTCAACAGTTGCAACAAAGGCGAAGCGACAGATTTGTTGGGTACACATCTGTTAGACAAAAACGTGTAAAAAAGGTATTATATACACAGGATAACAAATATACTGCCTCAGAGAGTGCAATGAGAAACATTCTTAAAGACAATGGAGTCAAAGTCACGTTTTTACGATATTTCGAAAAACATCATAAACATCTGCTCAGTTGAATGTAGTAGATGACGGTTCTTCTTCTCTGGACAATCCGATTCCGGTTCTTAGTCAATTCCTAGTTCCATTCGTACTCCTCGACCATTACCCTGTACTTACCTGTTTGTTATCGAGATGTTCTAAATAAAAAAATCAGTCCATGTTTATTGACGCCATTTGTACGAGTTGTGTCGTCTGGCTGTAATTAAAGAACCTAGACTGAGATGATACACTGGCGACGAGGATTTTCAAACTGACTGTTGGACGAACAACTCAGTGTTGATATACACCAGGGCAAAGGTAGGACGGATAGGGGAATATGTCGAAAGGATAGAAGATTTCCAATGTTATACCGCGAGGCTAGAACAGTACTTCGCCGCGAATGAAGTTGCTAATGACAAGCGGGTAGCCGTATTTTTAGCTGTAGTTGGTGCGCACACATATGGCTTGTTACCGAACCTGATAACACCTGATATTCCAAGCACAAAGACATATGATGAACTGAAACAGACGTTGAAGTTACATTTTGAGTGTCAGCGAGTTGGACACATTGACAAAAATTGTAAGTATAAGAAGAAAAATGTTCGATATCAAGGTGTAGACACTGATTATGGTGATGAATTTGGATTGTTCGGTCTATATAAACATACGCATCATACTCAGAGTACCAAGACAACGGGTAAGGAGTACCGGGTCATTGTAAGAGTGGACGGATATCCGGTTAATTTCTAGTTGGATACCGGTGCAGCGGCGACGATTGTGTCGGAGAGTTTATATGAGGAGCACCTTAAGCGCTTACTGTTCCAGAAACCTTCTATTAAGCTTAGAGACTATGGCGGAGGTAAAGTGCCTATAGTCGGAGAGATACAGGTACCAGTGGACTATGGTGAACAGAGTCATATCTTACCACTACGAATAGCTGCGGGCAACAAACAAGCTCTTCTTGGACGTGATTGGCTTCAGTATTCGAAGATGGATTGGACGAACATTTTCTCAATCAAGCAGGTTACAAATAGTGCTACAACCATAACCGAGATCCTACGTTAACATGACAAACTATCTGAAAAGGGTTTAGGCACTATCAAGAACTTTCAGGCACGGATTCATGTGAAACCGGAAGCCCAGTCTATATTTTGTAAGGCTCGCCCCGTTCCATTTGCTTGCAAGGAACCGTTGGAAAAGGAACTTACTAGGCAACAGAATGAGGGCATCATATCTCGTCTATTTGCCTATGTTGTGATTTTAAGGTAACCATTAATCAATACACACTTAGGATTGTTTCGGTATCATCGCCTACCATTTGGGGTATCATCCGCACCAGCCATCTTTCAGTCCGTAATGGATCAAATATTAGCGGGACTCAAACATGTTATGTGTCGGATCGACGCTATTTTTATTACTGCACTGACAGATGGTGAGCACCTTGCGACCTTAGCTTAAGTCCTCCGGCGGCTCGATGAGCATAATGTTCGACTCTGTAAAGACATGTGAAAGTTCTTGCAAGAACGTGTTGAATACATGGGTCACATCCTTGACCAAGAAGGCAGTCATCCAACCGAAGCGAAGGTAGAGGCAATCAAACAGGCCCCGAGCCCTACCTATGTGTCCGAGCTTAAGTCTTTTCTGCGGCTACTTAACTATTATGGACAGTACTTGAGGAACCGTGAACTGGACTTCAGAGTGTCAAACTGCCTTTCAGACATGCAAGGACCTATTGACCAGCGATCGCATGCTTGTACATTATGATCCAGGCAAGCTCGTACAATTGGTTTGCGACGCGTCAGCGGTAATCTCCCATGTGTCGGAGGAGGGTGAGGAACGACCCATTGCATTTTCTTCGAGGATGCTGTCATCAAGTGAAAAAAACTATGCCAAAATAGAGAAGGAGGCACTGAGTTTGATATTTGGTGTGAAGACGATTCATAAATATTTGTACGGTCGACGCTTCATGTTAGTGACCGATCACAAGCCACTAACTAGGATACTAGGACCAAGGAACGGAGTACCTACATTGGCCGCGGCACGAACGCAACGATGGTCGTTAATCCTTTCGGCATATCAGTACGATGTCGCCTATCGAGGAAGCCAACATTTACCATTTTACGCAACTTGATGAACTACCCGTCAGATCTGGGGACATCGGAGAAAAAACGAGGAAGGAACCGGTTCTTTCAAAAGTACTCAGTTATACATTAAATGGATGGCCTAATTTCGTGTCCAACGCTAGTCTGCAACCATACTTGCAGCGTCGCGAACACTTATCTACAGAACAAGGATGTATATTACGGGGTCCGCGCGTGGTCATACCTCCTGCTTTACGCGAACGTCTTGACCTTCATAAACAGCATGTTGGAATGTGTGCTATGAAAGCACTAGCAAGAAGTTATCTTTGGTGGCCTAATCTCGATAAGGAAATCGAGACTTTGGTCAATGTCTGACGTGTGTGTCAAAGTTCACGTAACACACCACCAGTGGCACCACTTCTTTCGTGTAGCTGGCCTACGCGAGTGTCGCAACGGTTGCACATGGACTTCGCGGAGAAGGACAAAAAGTATTTCTTGGTTGTTATAGATAGCCATTCGAAGTGGTTGGAAGTGTTTTACATGACGTTCACAACCTCAAATAGGACAATTGAGGTCTTGCGGTGGTTATTCGCGTCGTATGGTCTACCCGATGTGATTGTATCAGATAATGGACCCCAGTGCATTTCTAGTGAATTTGAACAGTTCATAATTAAGAACGTAGTGAAACATACTCTTGTACCTCCGTACCACCCCGCATCGAATTGTGCAGCGGAGCAGTCTGTGCAAATCCTTAAGCGGGCACTCCTGAAACAGGTTTCAAACGGTGATGGACAGTATTCCATGCAGCATCGCCTTAGTAACTTTTTGTTGAAGTACCGGTCAACACCTCACTCAGTAACAGGTGTGTCTCCCGCGGAATTGTTTTGAAGAGACTCCGAAACAAATTTTCGCTCTTACAACCTAATTTGGAGGGGAGAGTAAGTCGTAAGCAAATGATGCAAAAGAAACATCACGACAAAGGGCGAGTGAAAGTTAGATCATTTGTGGCGAATCAGACAGTTCGTGTTGGGAATTTTCGTGGAGGACTGGAGAGATGGGTTCCAGGGAAGATTGTAAAACAGTTGGGTCCCTTGACCTACTTAGTGCGCGTTGGACCAAATATTCGGTATGCACATGTCGATCATATCGTGTCGTCGGGAGAGGAAATACTCAGTGAAGGACCAACCAAGATGGAGACTGAAAGTATTGTTGACACAAGTTTACCTACAATTCAACCGATTACGCCATGTGCTATTTCGACATCGTTAGATACAACAGACACCACAAAATCGTCATTGATTTCATCAGACGCATCTTCAACACATGTTGTGTCCAAACCTCTTCAGGTGTCTCCAGCAACTATGCTGTCACCTACCGATAAGACAGACATTCCAAGGAACTTCCCGTGTACTCCTGATGCCCCAATTTCCATTCCTCCAAGGCATCGACAACCTCGAGTTCGACTTGATTTGTGAATTGTTCTTTATTGACTTGGCTAAAATGTTCAGTAAAATTTAACAAGTGTTCTTTTCAGTTAACAAGTATTTCTATACCAAAGACTGGTTAAAGATAATTTGAAATTACAAAGATTTAATTTTGATTGTGTACATGGACAAGATCCGATTCCGGTTCTTAGTCAATTCCAAGATCCATTCGTACTCCTCGACCGTTACCCTGCACTTACCTGTATGTTATCGAGAGGGTCCAAATAAAAAAATCAGTCCATGCTTATTGACGCCCTTTGTACGAGTTGTGACGTAATTAAAGAAACAATGAACTGTTTAATGAAGTTGAAAATATTCTGGTTGGGGTGCAAGAATACCTGACATACCTGTAAATATTCAGAGTAAAATTGTTGTATTTTCAAACAAAAGAGTTGTAGATATAAACCATAATTTCTATATCTATAACAGTGTATTATCAGTTGTCGCAGATATTGGTCATCTTGGTATTCTATCGAACTGTAAACATAATTCCATTGAAATAACAAAATCGACCTGTAATAAATTAAAAATGGCTCCACAAGCGCGGACAATACCCCACAGCCTTATCATAAAGCAAATTCAAGATGGTGGCCGTAACCGCCATATTGGATATCGGGCGACGACGAAAAACATTAGGGTTGTGTAGGTCCATGGACCCAACATGCCCAGCGAAAATGGTGATCGCCGGTGATGTCGTTCTTGAGATAATGATCGGAATGCAAATTCAAGATGGCGCCCGTAACCGCCATATTGGATATCGGGCGACGACGAAAAACAATAGGGTTGTGAAGGTCCATGGACCCAACTTGCCCAGCGAAAATGGTGATCGCCGGTGATGTCGTTCTTGAGATAATGAGCGGAATGCAATTGTGGACGGACGGACGACGTGCGTGATCGCAATACCCCACACCCTTTCGGGCTGTGGGGTAAAAAGTGGTGTAATGGCCCTTTTACACTCAGGCGCCCATCAGTGTGCTCTAAACCCATTAACAGTTTCAAAAGTATGAAATTGGAAGTTTATCCTTCCGCACTTTATGGATGTGAACTCTGAGTACTGAGTTACTGATGTTAGAAAGGGCCCAGCGTTTTATTGTAAAGTCAATTCAGGGTCTCGAACTGACATGTGTACCTCTTTACTTGGGTGGACGTCAATAGAAGCGTACATAGATACTAAAAAACTTTTTTCTGGGCAGAATATGTAGAATGAAAAGAAATAATTTGACTTGTAAAATTTTTATTGTAGGATGTTTTTTGTATACAATTAACGAACATTCCAAAATGGTTATATACCTGATACTGTCGGAATCCTCAAAAATGTGATTTATTCCAGAATTTTGAACTTTTACTAGATGATGGTACTTTCCCAAACAAAACACATTGGAAAGAGCTGGTTTACGATTCTGTAAAAGACTATGAAACAAACGCCTAGTTACAAAGAATGTCTAACGATGCAGATTTTTCACGATTCAAACTACTGCACGATTGTTTAAGATCACAAGGTTTGTGGAAACTAGCTCTGTATCACCCTAGTTCTCTCGACAATATCCGTTATGTAATCAAACTTATTGTTTCCATACGGAATTCAAATATACAATTTTTGTGTCATTAGAGTGAATATTTTTTTTACAGACATTGTGAATCATGCGATTTTACATTGTTCAAAAACAGAAATTGATCGAGATGACTTATGGTGCGCAACTGCGTCTTTTTCGAGTATTGAATTTATTTTATACTTACTATCATTGCCAGAGAATATATTACTTCACATTTTACTAGGAGGCCCTCTGGCCTAGCAGCAAGACAAACACCATTAAAAACAATTTAGACTGAAGTCATCATGTTCTATAAAAAGGATGCTGGAAGTATATGGCTATATATAGCGTTGCATATAAAGAGACTTACTGTATATAAACTTAAAACATAAATTATTTTGACATACATGCTTAGTGTGTACTTATATATAAAATTATAATTATATCATTGATAAGATACTCTTCACGGAGTACATGTATTTTGTTCAATCAAACTTAATGTAGAATTAACCTATTCTATGCATAATTATAATTTGTATAGTTTACATTATTTTTCACTTTAATTGCACGTTTTTCATATTATATTTGTATGCTCTTCATATCTGGAGGAAATAAAGACAATTATGATAATAAAATTCTGTTATACAAAGCCTTTCCTATGTTCTGAAATTTAGGCAGACCAAAATAAAATTTGCTAATTTCAACAACATCAAATATTCGGAAAAGGAGCTAGTAACCATGGCAACAAACATGAATTAGTAAATTTCTGGCATATACATATCTTTAGGTTCCTTATCCAGTAGTTCACAATACTATGAATTTCGGATGTATTTTTTTCATTCACTTCCATCGTCGAAGACATTTGCTAATATAGGAATTTGATTTTTTGCCGAAAGGTTTAAAATTCTGGTCACTATGGTAACATAATTATTCGTAAAACATGATTTTGTTCACAAGATTGTGAAAGCTTGTATTCCAATGTTTCTTAATACATGGAGGTTGCTTACCAAACAGTTGACTGGAAAAGGGTGAAATTGATGTTGAAGCAAAATGACAGATTTTCCTTAGTGTCATTAAAAATCCATGGGAGTTAATTAGTTTTAAAGGACATTCAGAAAGCACCGTAAATATTTTTCATAATTCTTATTGCTTACGTTATAAATAAAATTTATTTCATGATATAAATACATTTGTGTTAGATGGTTACTTTATATATTCATGTATATATATATATATATATGTATAATTGTCATAATCCTACAGATGTTCTTCACATTATAATGTTATGTAAGTTGGCTCTTGCATGATTTTGTTTGTTGGAATAAGATCTTGAACTCTGACCACCTGGTGACCATCTGTTACCCTATGTAGTTTGTATCTCTTGTTATTTGGATGTTATGTGTGCGTACGTGTTAGCTAAGAGGGTCGTGTAGGGCAACTCGCTATGCGGTCACGGTTTTAGCTTGACCAGCGGCAGTAGCCGTGATGCTAGGCGGTCAGGGCCTGGATTGACCAATCAGCGAGGCGCGCACCTCTTCGTGATTTTGACCGCGTCATATCTTCATCACTCCTCATAATTTTTCTGCTGCTGTGATTACGTTTAATATCTTTCGAAGTCCCACCCATACCACACTCCCACATTTTGTCTTGAGCCAGCTTACATATCCATGTTTTTTTGTTTTTTGTTTTTTTTTTTAAATTCAAACTTATGTTTGTATGCCGACAATTTGTACCCCATCTTTTTGTTGTACATATAGACTGAAGTTAATGTCATTCAGATCTATATATTATATAACAACAGTGATTGATATTGTGGTTGTATTTGAAATGTTCCTGTCATTTAATAAATGACCATTTGACAACATTTCTTTTCCCTGTTGTTTTGTTTTTGTTTATAAGACATGTACAACAATTAACAAGCTGCAGTCTCTGAGCTGGGTTACCATGCTAACACAAATATTTTTGTTTCACTCTCCTTTACAACGTATGTTGTTCATTGATGCGTGCAAGTTATCCGAGTGTGGAAGTGTGTTCGTGTCTGAGTGTAAGAGTGCTTGTAGCATAGTACGCAATAATGAATGCTTGCAAGGACGACTATATACCATTCAAACATTGAAATATTTCATGTGCATTGTTGAATCTTATAGGCTGTAAGGCTATCATATGAAAGCATTTGAAATTGCAAGTAATCCTTTTAACAGTATTTATCTGCCCACGTGTTAAAAAGTGGGTCAATCGTGTAGCGTCTGATACGTGAGTGATGCGTTACACCTGAACGGTCACACTACATATACCCATTCACTCACCCCAGGCAGACAGTGCATACGTGTGTTGCGCCCTGTATATAGCTACACAGTTCTGTGAAATCATGCCGGAACCTACAATCGACTGGAGAGGAAATACATTTCATAACTTTGGGACTGTTTTCGACATCGTCCAGAGTGTTGTCATTTGCTTCTTATATCTGTCATCTTTAACAGCGGTGATAAGTGCCATTCGAACGCGATGCAAAAATCGCTCTCTGATTATCATATTAGCCGTTACGGGCATATTGATACAAACGATTTATCTACTAGCTCCTTACCGGGTTGGATTACTAAACTCCAATAAATGGAAAAACATTTTTGCAGAAAATGATTCTGATATGCCGACGGATAGTCTTACTGCTGCAAACACCGATGCTTTGAGATTACCTAGACATAAGTATGAACCATCGGACATTCAATTGTATGGGAATGTGATTGTCTACATGACACAGGAAGGGGAAATTACCAACACAAAATACCCAAACATGATGGACAAATCATTACTGGAGGAGAAAATGGATAATGAACAATATGCTGTGACAAAACAAGCCAAGTCATGGAGTGAGATTCGAAGCGACGATGGATTTAGATGTGCCGACCTCAGATTGCCGACCCTTTTTCTTTATAGCTTGATTTTCATATGCCTATCGTTAGCCTGTGTCAGACAAAACAAGGCAGTGAATCTTAAGCCTATGGTCAAATTTTGTATGTTGATATATGTCGCTACCTTGACGTCAACACTCACTTTCCTGTACACATTAATGCCATCTGACAATACTGATATATTTACAATGCGAAAACCCTTGGACAACTTGATGCTGAGTATCTGCTCACAAAACGTCCGGAATATGTTCCCGACTTTCATCTTCGAGACATTTGGTCTCTATTTGCCTACTGTTGGAGTGTTACTGGTGGCTCTGTACTGGAAAACAGGTAAATCACAGCGATATAAAACATTTGGTAACACTATTCACTGCCTGTTGTGGATTCTTTTATTAACCTCTTTCAAGTGAACAGTTGAATATATGTTGCACTATTTTTGAGAAGGGTTCCTAATCGTTGAATACTCTTTAATATCCTCAGATATAACAGTTTTCATATGCTTTAACAATCTATACAAACCATCCCAAATATTCAATGAATTCCAAAATATCTGAATATTTGGCATTGAGGTAAATCTATTATTCGTCCATTGAAACATTTTGGAGAAGGAATTCTTGCATACAAAGTTTTGGATTATTTTAATTTTGGGGAAGATGTAATAAAATGGGTAAAATTTCTACAAAAAAAATCAAGCTCAGCTATTAATCAAGGGGGAAATTTGTCTCCATTTTTTTGAATTCAGAGAGGCTGTAGGCAGGGAGATCCAATCGCACCATATATATTTATAATGTGTGCTGAAAGTTTAGCTATTAGAATAAGGAACAATAAAAATATAAAAGGTATTGATGATATTCCGATTTTACTTTCTCAATATGCAGTGACACTACACTTATTTTGGATGGTATAGAGAGATCACTTAAAGAGTCAATAGATGAACTAAAAGCTTTTGCAAAAATATCTGGATTAAAAATAAATGTTTCTAAAACGCAGGCTATTTAGATTGGGAGTAAAAAATATAGGGATGAAGTTGTGTACCCTGAATTAAATTTACAGTGGGGAAATAAAAAATTTAATACTTCTAGGCATTGAGTTTCATGTGGATCTACACCGAATACCTAAATTAAACTATGATAAAAAACTAGTAAAGATAAAGGCACTCATTAGAACTTGGGAAAGAAGAATTTTGACTCCAATAGGTAGAATTCATATTATAAAGGCATTATTATTTTCTCAGTTTAATCACCTCTTTATCTCATTGCCAAATCCAGATGATTATTTTCTGAAAAAGTTAAACACAGAACTATACTGTTTTTTTATGGAAAAGTAAGGTGGATAAAGTTAAAAGAGATATAACTATTAAAAAATACATTGATGGGGGTCTAAAAATGATACATGTAAAATCTTTTATCGAATCTCTTAAGTTAACATGGTTAAGAAGACTCTATACAAGCCCAAGTAAATGGCAAGTAATTTTGAGAACTTTTGTTGATAATCATATTTTAGCTAATTGTGGACCTGAATATATTTCAATATGTCATAAAAAATGATGTTTCCATGGATAAACTTAACAAATAAACACATTTTAAAACAATCCCCAGATATATTGGCCAAAACACCATTATGGTATAATAATGTAATAAAAGTAAATAACCAGTGTATTTTTACAGGGATTAGTATAATAAGGGTATAATTATTATCTGTGACTTAATCAATAGAGACACTAATTTGTTTTACTCTTTTCAGGAATTTCAACAGGTCTTTGGTATTAGTATAAACTTTCTTTATTACCAAGGAATTATTTCAGCTGTTAGAAAACATATAAAGAAACAAGACTTACCATTTCCTATATATCCTTTCATACCGATTCACTTAGAAATACTTTTCCGCAGTAAAAAAAGGGACAAAAGATTTCTACTATTTACTCTACAAAAATAATACTATGTCTCCTGGAATAAAAAAATGGGGTGACAACTTTAATTTTGATAATGAAACATGGAGGAAAATATACAAAATGCCTTTTCAAATTACCAAAAATTCAAAATTACAATGGCTTCAATACAGAATCAATCAACATATTCTAACAACAAACCCATTCTTATTTAAGGCAGGAATAGCGGATAGTCCCTATTGTAATTTTTGTAAAACTTATATCGAAACAATAGAACATACCCTATGGGAATGTGATAAGGTTCAGGATATGTTACAAAATATTGAATTTTTATTAGATGCTTTAATGATCCCTTTTGCTTATAATAAAGAGACTTTTATCTTTGGACTTTACAATCAAGAAGGTATAAGAACATCAATAGACAGCACAATTATTTTAATTATAAAACAATCTATTTATTCATCAAGATGCTTACAAAACAATCTATCAATAAATGGTCTGAAAAAAGCAATAAAGGACACCTACATTACACAAAAATACATTGCAGCAGGTAAAGATGACACTTACAATAACAATTTTCAAAATGAATGGAAAAAATGGCAAAATCTCCTGAATCTTCAATTTGCTGCATTTCACTTTTAAGACATGTGCAATAGCAATACCCAATTGAAATACACAACTTAATTGCTTGCCACAGCCCATTTCTATATAAAGGACCCCATTGGAAATAAGTCAGTATTTAACTTTATGGGTTATCCTAGATAGATACTGGCATATTTTACAAGTCTAATTATAGCATGCACAATCAAATTTTAATTTATTCTTATCTTCTGTGATACAGTTTCTTAGAATCAACTGTGATCATTTCTTATAATTAATGTGATTTTATAGAATATCGTTTCAATGTAAAATTGTTTGCTATGTATTTATCAGAATAAACAGGGACGTATAATACATCTGTATTATACGTCCCTGGAATAAATATTATTACTATTATTATTTCTGAACATCAGATATCGCCATAACGTGGGCGGAGTTCTGAGCTGTCAATCACCTGACACCGCTATTGTGGTTACGGGGAATTCTGAAACGAAAACAGACTCTGAGAAGTCATTAGGAATGGAAATATTCTTTATATTATGGCTGGAGTCAGGATTTTTAGATGCTTTAGTCCCAGACAACACCCAAAAAGTATTATATCGAAAGGCCTACCGACTGTCTTTCCAGTGCCTTTTCACTTACGTCAGCCATTGCAGTCACGGGAAATTACGGAAAACCCCTAATATCCCTAAGTCATTAAAAGACTGCAAAGATTGAATAAATCATGACTTGAATTGAGATGGGAATGGTTTTAGTTTCATTCATCACCCGTAAAATTAGTGTAACATTTATAATAACTGTCTTTTCGGTAATTCTGTTGTCTTTTCGGTAAATGGCTGTCTTTTCGGTAATTCGTCGTACCCCATTATATGTACCATTTCAATTAATCCAGAGCGATTTACCGCGATTCCTTGCCCAAAACCAATCAATAAATAAAGAAATCGAAAACAAAAACAACAAAAGAAAATCCGATAGATATGGAACCATTTTGTGACAGCTTTGGTTTTAACTTGAAATTGAGAAAAACGTTTTGATAATAGAATGTGTATATTGAACCAAGACTGCTAAATCCATTGACGCAAAAAAATATAGACGTTCATATACATACATGAATTATTGATTAAAAATGTCAGAAATCAGAAAAAAATACTCGTGTTTTGTAGGGAATACAAAGGAGAAAGGAGATAGACGATGTCATGTCTTTCAGGAATGCCGAACAGTACACGGTGAAGATTGTATGGCATGCAGTGGAGCAAACAATGTCGTCGGACATATTCTTTTGTGTTACGTTGGTTTCCTTTTCATTGTTCGTCCGATACATTACACATACACGTATGTAACACACGACAAGTTTTACGACGTATGGATTATCATATGTGTGATGATAATGTGTGCTGGCGTTTCTGTGAACAGTGTTTTCAATGTAGTTTCAAGTAAATTTAACAATGAAAACGCTGTCAGTGTTGACGAGCACACGTCACTTAGCAAAGAGCAAAACATTACATAAACTTTGCGTGTTCAAAGGAAAATATATGTGACTTTGCTGATATATTTATTTTCATTTTTAATTCTGAATCTATGAAATTATTTGCAACTTATATATATTTACAGCGTAAGGAAAACTTTGATCAATGTACAAATATCATTCATAACCGTGTGTGATACAAGTATATTTGTGTTGTAAATACGAGCCTTCTGATGTAGATTATATTTTCATTGCTTGAATATTAAAAAGATTTTTTTCCTGAATTACCCATGTCTCTTATCTTATCTGTAAATATAGATATTCTGCTTTACACGTTTATCATACTATGGAATTGAATTATTGGGGAAGTAGATCAATGTGTGAATTATATGTTGTCAATATGTGCCTTATATTTTAAAATGAATAACCTAGTCACCCTCAAACAGGCATTGTTTTCAGCTTCAAAGTGTGTTTAAAATCTTAAATATGTTAATAATTACCATCTCAGAATTAAACAATTAAAATTAAAGAAATTATGACACACGGGAATGACCTGGTACACGTAAATACACAACCACGATCGATGCAGAGACTGTCTCTAACATAGAGTCGGTCGTTTAAAAAAGATGGACGGGTATGTTTGAATATGCATTTATATATATGTATATCTGATAATGCTAAACATGTACAAAGAAACAACAATAAACAATTTAATGGCGGTATTTATACATTATTTGAAATCCTGTAACAAAATAAATTACAAAAAAAAATTTTTTTAATCCAATATAAGTGCTGTTCTTATGGCATGGAATTCTGCTCTTAACGGAACAGAAATCTACCGCAACAACATAGCAAGATATATCATTGAGTAAAATATATCTTAATGAAGCTAATAGTAGACAGAAAACTTAATTATAGTAAACGAGCATTCACAACATTCTTCAATGTTAACCAAACATTTGATGCCAAATTAGACGCCTACGAAACACAACATTATAACGTAATATGCTTTTTGGAGCTTACATATGAACTTATGTGATTTAACTATTAGTTCATTGCGGTACAACAGTTCATATATCAATTTCTAAGTTCAGATAGATTCTTACGAAGATAAAGCATCGGTAACCCTGATGCCGCTATAATGTATAGTAGCGATGTTCTTGTGTACACGTATTCAATAAAAAAACGTTTGCCATTGGTTTAAAATAAAAACTAATAATAAATTTGGAAGTCATGCCGCGCACAGATACTTATCAAGGGTTAGAAACCAGTAAAGCTAAGCGACTGCATTCGATTATAGATAGACTTTGTTTGAATTGTTTTTTTACTAAGGACAAAGCATTGTCGATAACGCCTTGTTATTTTGTTTGACTTGACTAACCAGGAAAAATGAAAGTCACCGTCATACCTGGGTAACCATGGTAAAATTCACTTAATGTACCGTAAGGCTTGTGAGAACTTTAGGTATTCAGCTCGACTAGTTGAGCGTCAAACTAGTAAACCAGAGGTCGCTGATTTGGATCCTAGCAGAGGCATTGAAATAGATTAATAATAATGTCTGTTAAAATGGTCCAAATGTAGAGACTTAGGACTGATACTTCACACTTTCCCCAAGCATCGCTGTATTGTAACCCATGGAAACTCAAAGTCGAGCTATTTCCTAGAAAAAGACGTTTGTAAACCTAATAAAATTCTAGCACTAGTAAGAACTGCTCTTTAGCTCGATCGGTTGAGCATCAGACTGGTAAGGCAGAGCTTCCGGTTTGAATCCCAGCGGAGACGTTACAGTAGATAATACCATCTTTTATACTGGTACTTTTTATTGTATTGATCAACAGAGATGTAACCTACCGTTGAAAACAGCAATATCTGATACAACAATGGATAAGTAATCAATGAAAATTTGATACAATTTAGATGAAAGCATATCTTTACAGACGCGTCATGTTGCAAGCATTTCATGAAAAGTAATTTTCTCAAGCACATATATAACACTTAACAGAACGATTGAATAAAAGACACACAAGTGAATAGCACCTCTTGATAATGTAAAGTTAGATACCATCGAGCCATACAATGACGCAAACTGCATCAAACAGCTGTTTCGTCCTGCTTTGACTCGTCAGTAAGTTTTGAAGCCTAGGAGGTGACTGAGGAAAATCCAAAATGCAATCGTAAATTTCTTAATTTTCTTATACCAGACGAGTTAAGAACAGCGTCAAGTACATCTGTATAATCGGAACCGTACCGCAATTTGATTGAATTAAAACGTGGCATGCAGGTTAAAGCAAACCTCGAGGACTTAATGTTTACCAGCAGTATGTAACACATGATATCAAAAGCTGGTAACGGGTATGTAGTAAGTGAACAGGAAGACGGACTGCTAAGATCCTGATGTTAGTGTGTGTTTCATTTTAGCTCATTTATCTAGGCTTAAAAAACAACAAAAATAAATGAAATATGACTCTATCCATACTATCCCAAAGTCAGGTATCCGGGGATCGGTTTTTTATTCTACCGACACCACAAAATCAATATCATGTTAGAAAGAATATATAATTTACCATATTATTCGCCATAATCATACTTATCTTCATTTCCAAAGAATGTTTTATTGATATCAATAACAAAAAGATTAGACAGCAGACTGTTTCTTATATAAGTCTTCTTCCAAGACACATGGATAAACAAAACACTTATACATAAACACAAACAATCTATTGAAAACTGAAAATAGAAATTGATATTTGTAGTCAATAATTCTATACCAAGATATTTTGTTTTTTTGAGAAAATCTGAGATATTGTTCGTGAATTGGAAATCTTCAAATATTGATGTTTTTATTCAATTTTACATGGAATCAAATGCACGAAAGAGGATTTGTCTAGAAAAAAACCTTTGGTCAACATCAGGGCGACGAAAAAAATATTGTATTGTTTTATTAAAAAAAATATATATATACAGATGAAGTTCTCATTCGAAAATTTGCCGAGAAAACTATGATAATAAGAAACGGCATCAAGCTATGTTCGTCTTAAACAGATGCATGATCATCACAATGTTCCTTCAAGATATTGATATGAAAAATGAAATATAGTCAATACATGTAAAACCATTTGAGTTATCAAAACATAGGAATCGTAAAACACAGCAAAACAATTTACTAGTGCATGTGATTTTACTCAGTGATGAAAAGAATTCCATAGCAAAACTCTCTTTGGTTGAATTGATAGTAGCTATGATATTCACGTTGCAAGTTAATAAAAGGTAAACAGACAAAACAAATTAAAACATGAATTAGTTACGAGAAATTTGTACCCGCTATATATTTTATAATCTCAGGACACAAAAGTAGTAAGTAATCTTAAATCATGTTACACAGACACCATTGAACGTATTATATTACATTCTTTTGTCAAATCGCATTGAACAGCAATTGAGCTAGAATCGCTCTATAACAGACCTGAAGAACTTCAGTCTCAGTACAATGAATACATAAAGAGACATTTAAATCCGATAAAAAATATTTCGTGCTAGTTACTTGTGAAATTGATCGTGTTGAATGGGCACACGTTTGCCCGTAATTGAACTTTTACGGTCAATGCAAGCGATCTATACTACTCTGTTTGTCCTTTAACATTACCGATAGTTCAAAACGTGTTGTTGTACAGGGCATGCGCAGGTTAATGATAATGTTAATTGATAACCCTCACTCATAATTCTATTTGCCCTATAAACTACAGATAGCGTCACTTTCCTTTACTCTTCAGAGAGTGATACTATATGATTATATATGAGACAGCTAATGTTTGCAGTTCACCATGATTTCTTTTTACCTTAAAATTACCGATAATCTAATATCGTGTATTGTACATATTAGTACCGCCTTACCGATCGCATACTCATTGTCTGCCGTTCACGTCAGTTCTATTTCGCCTTAAACATAACCGAGAGTTTAAATCTCATGCTGTTCAATACTATTATTTGTAAAACATTTATGATAACTATCACATTACTGACAATATAAATTTTCTGAATGTACAGAATAATAAAATATTGATGCATTGATTTTTTTTTTGAATTGTCAAACACAACCAATTCCTCTTTAAACATAATCGAGAGTATACATAACAAAAATAAAATTGACGCATAACATGTTTATCACAGACTGACATACTTTCAGTTTTCTACCTAATTAAAGTGTCATTTCCCGAATCCTTATTTGATCCTGAGGCACGACGTAAATCAATCAAAGAAACAGGTTCCTCATACAGATTAGATGATCTGTCCGGTAAAAGTTTGGAATCACCCCGTGGGCTCCTTGGAATGTTGCAGAAACGACACATAGAGCTACACAAGTCATGCTGTATTCCGTCATTCCGTTCGTTCACAAACACGTTGTGGTAGCCGCCTTGTAAAAGTGAAGGCACATCAGTATCACTGAGGTTCCGGCTATAAATTTGATTTTTATCAAATTTGTCTGCCTTCAGGTAAGATATTTCAGAATTTTCTTCCTTTATGGAACAAGGTTGATTTTCTTTGTCACTGAAAGAGAAGAAGAGGAAAAAATAATTTGATAACTGTTTGAGTGTTTGGTTTAGAAAAAAACCCAAACAACTTAGTATAGCTAAGGCGTAACTGTGGGAGAGGCAAACTATTTATTCAACCCAGTTGACGAAGAATAAATGACATTACTATTTTTAAGACTCAAATTAAACATAAGCTCTGAGAGCCATGGACATGTTTGACTACATTTTATTTGCTTCCTCTCTCTGCGCTACTCAAACTTCAAGCAGATTCAGCTAATACTGCTTCTGGTGAAATGTGGAAACCAGCTTGGAGACTTCATGTAGCACAAATCAGGTTTTTAAAACCTGTGTACAGATAACCGTGATCCTCCAACAACTCGCCAATTTATGAAAATTGAGTTTGTAAATAAAGGAGTTGATGCTATTCAAACCAGCATTATTTGACAACAGAAGTCTGTTCAAGGTAATATTCCACCAAAATTGCCTTCATTTCCTACAAGCCCGTTGCCTCCAAAATGTATAACTACAAACAATTGCTGCAACAATTGAACAACTGAAATCAATCATCAGTATTGAAAGCAATTTATATCATGATATTGAATAACTATGTGCTCCACTTATGAAGCATAATTTGGTATTTTATAATGAAGTATTTTGGTAAATCTAATAAATTCTTTATCAATATCATTCTGTTCAATATGTCCCAAGGATATACACATGTCACACATGTAGGTTCGTGCCTAGTCGACGATCCTATGGTCGTTACCTATTTAGCCTTTGGTCATTATCTTTCAAATTTACCTGGTTACCTGGATACTAAATATGTAATCCTTATTCAGTACTCCAATCTTATATCAGTATATCTAACATGTTGGCGTGGTGCATGTAATTTCTTATATAATGTAACAATTTTTTTCCTTGTCCATCTCTATAAAAGCTGGTAAGAAATTGTATTAAACAGTCGATCTCTAGGACGCACATTCGTACGTCCACAGACCAATAAACTTCTTAAACAGACAGTCCTGGGCTCAGTCATATTTACAACGAAGAACTACACACTCAGATAAAAAAAGCTAGAACATTATACTTACTTGGACTTTTTAATTGTCTAAATTACAAGCACAATTAAATAATGTGATCGATGAACCTTCAAACAAGTGCGGAAACGAGGAAATAATATCCCCGCAATGCATGTCGAATTTTTACGATGTCTGCTGTTGAGGGGACATTGGAGAGTCCAATACTACATTGTGCTGTATTCCACTGCATAATCGCAAGGCGTACATATGTGTTTATAATTTAGAGGCATTCGTGGGTATATGTGATAAATTGTTTTTTGATAAGTATGTTATTGTGTGCGTATCCGGTGTCCTGTATACATCTATACATCTGATACCATATCTACGAATTGTGCAAATACATGAATTCATTACAATTTCACGTTTGAGTGCTGCGTTCACATTTTCATTCCATTTAAATGAAAAACGTCGATATCAACACCATACTTCCCTGATATAAACAAATAAGATACAGTAATGAAAGAAAAAAGATTTAGAGATATATATTATAATCCTATACTAGGTATTGGGATCCAGGCCGAGACCGGGTGCGGCGTACGCTAGAAATCTACGAGAAATCCTACAATATATGAGACATGACAACATCAAAGGTCACGATGTGTGGACAAGATCATTGGTATTGTATAACGCTAAAAGATTTTACGATTTCGGCATAATTATTAGTAACGAGATATAATTGGTACCAATACCATATCATTAGATCTTATATATGTCTGACAAGTTCAGCCTGGCTACCTTGATCATTCATCTTTTTATGGATCACTCATCCTTGTTAAACCCTTTCTGTATCTTGATACTGTGTAGGTATCAGCGAACATCCCCTGTACACATCACACATACACTAATAAACACAAACACGACACTACACTACACTTGTGGAGTTCATCCTTTATCAGATCTCAACAAATTTCAACAAGTTGGCGCAAATTGGTGAAAAAAAAACCTGCGTGGCCACTTCAGCGAAGTACGAACAACGTAGATTTACTTTGTTTTTTTATGTGGGGATTTTGTACCATGAATTAGTTTTCATTATATACATTATTAATATGTTTTCATATGAAATGGCTAGACATTCACAGCAGAACACAACCGATTATGATTTAGAAATGCTAACAGCTAATGCTACTACCGTCACAACTTTATTAAATAACCAACCCTACATCGCAACATACTTCTCGACCTCGCGCAAAAACACAAATTTGCATAACCCAACTTTAACATTGTCAGCCGTACTCGACACAATCGTGACAATTCATGTGATGATGAACCTGTCCTACACATGGCCACACTGATAATATTATCTCCGGATCTACGATCATTGCATCTGGCAAACGTTCTACCCTTCCTTTTGTTAGAAGTGGTTTATAAACCCTTTCTGTATCCTGATACTGAGTAGGTATCCAGATACGCACAGGAGAACAATCCCCCCCACCCCCCACACACACACCAATAAACAAGAACACTTCACTCGTGAACTTCACCATCCTTCATCAGTTTCCATCATGATATTCCACAAGTACTCATTAGTGACGACAGCGAGTTTCAACCGACAAGGAAATGTCTACCTGGACATTTCTACCTACATTTCCAAATTGGTCAGATTATAACTTGGTTTATACTTGGTCAATCTCGTTCATTAAACACTCATTGGAAAGATAAAACATTTATGTTTAAGAAAATGCACGTGGTATAAAATCTGATGCCCCTAGAGTATAAAAAACGTAGTTGAAAAAATACGTGCAGATTTTTAGTTTTTCATTCTTAGGGGTTACACCCCTTGTTACTATTATAGAGCCTTTGGCGTCCATCTGCCAAAGTGATTATCGAGACACCTAAATTTATACCACCGCCCTCGATTGAATTTGATAAGATTGTACTTGTGGTATGTATGTGATGTAATGCATGTAATATTTGTTTCTCGATCATCGCAATCCCACGTTCTTGTGTTTCGTTAACTACAAAATTGACTGCATCCAACTGCGATGGTTCGTCTGATTGATGTCAGTATATTTCAAAATACTTTTCAAAGCGAAGAAATAACAATATCCCGATCATTTCTAAAAAACAACCCCAGCTTTTATTTATATACCTGTAGGAGTCCGACGAATTATAGTAATCATCAGACACAGACACGGACAGATTGATATAGGCCTTGGTAACCTCAAGCATTGCTTCCAGCTTCTGACGCAAGTCGGCGAATGCAGGTCTGCTGGTGGGTCGTGGATGCCAACATGACAGCATGATTTGATATCTGTGTTGCAATGATAATTATTTCAACATAATTTGTGTATTTTGGTCGTGATATCAAATTCACATCGGTGCCTTGCACATCGCCAATTATCGAATTTTACAATTAAGCGAGTCAATATTTAGGACACATTTAAATCAATTTGACACGAAAAGCATTATTAACATGGCGAAATTTACTACGATAATAAAACCCATTATAAACACACATGGTAGTTAAACTTAAGAGGAGGACCAAGAAAAACTGGCTTAACATTGAGTTTATGTACATCAACGTAATGTATTTCCTTGATCAGTCATATTTTTTTGTTCGACATATATCCACATTTACTTACATATCAGTTCCACAGTTGCCAGGATTTTCCATTCTGTACCCGTCTTTTAACAATCGAAATAAGTCCTCATTTGGAATTCCGGGGTAAGGACTGCCTCCCAAAGTAACAATTTCCCAAAGGACAATTCCAAACGACCACCTAGTAAAATGGATATAGAAAATAGATTGTTAATGATTGTTTCCTAGACCATGAGAAAGTCGAGCATGGATTATTTGTCATATAAGGGACACTTAATACTTTAATCGGAATGGAAGGTCAGAAGGGTGATGTGTATGCTGCTTGTGAGTGGCTTTTCTCAAAGGTCAAGCCACTTAAAGATGGTGTCCATTGATTTTGGACCTCTGAGGAATAATAGTACAATGTTAATACAAATCCATATAAGCCTTTACACGAGAGCATGTTGACGAAATATTCATTAACCATGTTACTGACAAATTATTGTTTAATTTGAAAACAAACTGATAGATTTAAACTCTCGGAGGCTGATGACCGGCTTACCACATAGCCACCGGGTTTTAGTAATTATGGCTAATGTATCACATGCTTGATATGATGAGAGTACAGGTTTCAATGCTTCAAGTTTTGTGACATTCTTAAGTATGTTTTACCTAATTTCACTCAAAAGTCTTTTCGACTTTTACTTAAACTCATATTCGAGGCCAACACTGGATTTTGAGAAGAAAGTCTCCACCATGGAGTTATCAGAAGAGGTACTTCATATATATATATTTAAATATTCATGAACTATGCTGTGTGTTAACTAATGTTTTCATCACAGACAACAAAGAATTTTTAACGATATGAACAGACGTAATTTGAGAAAAACAAAGCTTACACAGTTGGATTAATACATAACACACATAACATACCTGTATAGCTAAAACATGTCAAATGCGTTAACAATCATTGACTCGTGAACGTAAGATTTATTTCTAATGATAATGTCTTACACATCGGATTTCGTGGTAAAGACTTGGTCGTAGATTGCCTCCAGAGCCATCCACTTATATGGTAGTTTTCTCGCCGATGTAGGCTGATACATGTTTGTTTCGTACACGTCACGGGTTAGGCCAAAATCAGAAAGTTTCAGTCTGTCACAATCGGACATCAGTATATTTCTAGCAGCTAGATCTCGATGAACGTATTTCTTATCAGCAAGGTACTCCTGAAGAAACCACAAGTATGTTTGACTGTATTGTTTTGTATTGTGTATTGCAAATTTGAGCTTTTTGGGAGTTTTAACTATCATCATTTTGACTATAAATCAATGTCATTACTTGGATGAAATACAATCGCAAAAATGGATAGAATATGTACTTGAAAAATTATAAATCTATGGGCTGCTTTATGACTTCGTTATAAAAATATATATTCTACTTTAAAGCTCCAATACATTCAATAACACTAGGGCAAGATATGAACAACAAATTTACAATAAGACTCATGAAAATGTACAAGAATAAGAACAGGTTTAGTGAAAGAGTATCCGAATCATGTCCCTTATCAATGTTGTATAAACTCACCATTCCCAATGCGATCTGCCGCGCGAAGGACAACAATTTTGACTGAGTTATTGGTTGGGTTTCAGATTCTGTATTAAATGAAAATAAATATTTCAACAAAGATAATGGTTTTGATATCATGTTTACATTGGTCTTGTTTGGTACATTATTGGTTTTGTTGTGGATTCACGTTTGATATATATGTACTGCAGGCTGATCTAAGCTACCTTTATATCTGAATACTATGGTAAGGACGACAATTTCCACATGACAGGTAAGTAGAACAATATTTTGTAGAGTAGTAATTGCATTTGTCCATTGGCATAATTGTCAATATAAACGGTCAATAAGAGTATAAATTCCCAAGGGTTCCAATTCAGTTCAATAATTTTAGATCCATCTACGCTAAAAAAAATGTCTATCATTATTGGCGAAAATTTCTTTCACCTTTCAAGAATTCCATTGACATTGACCAGAAAGTGCATTTTTTACAAATAAATCGCTTTTATTCAATAAAACATCTTATTTTAGAATTGTTTACGATTTGAGTTAGATAATAAACATGAAATAGCAGTTAACAATTGTTAATTTGATAGCCTCATCCTCAGATACTGTGGTAAGAGACTAAAATAGTATATTTAGCTAAAATGTCGACAATTTGCTTCATGTCCTATAAATGTTTATTCAACAATATGAAGTTCACTTGTTAAATATAACAGATAGCATCGCAGAAAGGACTAAGGTAACTTATTACAATGTGTATGTTTAAATATCAATTTTAAGGAATGATTGTTTACAATGAGAAATTGAATTAAAACATAAAATTATCTTATAATGATTCGTATAATTTATCGGATCCATCCCTGAGAAAAGAGTCGAAAATGGCCTAATATGTAAAATTTCCCTTTTCAATCAAAGATAGGCTAGTATCGATTGCTCCAGACTATTTAATTGGTAGTCAATATATTCGATCTGTATTTGTAAATATACTTGTTTTGAATGGTAAAAAAATCACATTCCAATGTTTTTTCTTGTCACTTAGTATATTTGTATTACTTAGTTGTCAGTGACACAACAAATATGACTACTCCGGCAGCCTTACATAGAAGCGTAGTAGGCTCACATATACATGAATCTGTAATTTCCTGAATGCGAAAATATTTAATTTGGCGGCCGATACTTAAATATACTGAACCGAGTGTATTTTGCACAGAGTAAGAGTTTAAACAATAAAAAACTGGTATGTCATTATTTTGATAAACATCAAATTCAATTTTCATCGTTGTTAAAAGCATTTTTCCGATTAGTTTATTGTAAGCAAGGGCGAATAAATACATCTCTGATGTAACTAAGTGTATGATTTGTGTTAGAAGGTATACGCTCATTAGACATGTAACCTCTCTGATTTAACTTTCCTGTTGGTGTTATAAAACAAGCCTGCCTCTTGTTAAATGTGTATTTTAGAAGTAAATAAAAGTTATATTATGGATCGAATACAGAAAATCTGTTTGTGTGCAAAGTACCCATCTTTGCATTCCGACGTATGCGAAATGTAGTTCCATCCGCAATTAAATTATCACTTTTATTTTAATCAGTACAATAACTGTCCTGGGTTTTATGAGATATCTTGTGAGCAACCTTGTTATTTCCAAATTATTGAATTTTTGACCAATGAACAAAATAATCAAATGAGGTTTAGAGTTTGGTGTTATAATGATATGAAAGGAAAATGAACGAAATTTGTGCAGGAGACATTGATATATTTCTTACATTAGTGATACACTTGTGTATGTGTAAATTAGTTATGAATAAAGTGATTATTATTCCTAATTAGTGGCCATGAATATTTTTTTTCAACGTTATGTTTAAGATTTTTAATCATAGGTCTCTATTAATTTCTGAATCATACAAACATGTTTGTATATGAATTAAACATGTAAATATATGTAAATATACAGGGGTGTTGGTTTATGAAAGGTATACCATTTGTTTCTGCAGTCATATTAGAGAACATGCCACTGTCTTCGTGCCTCATCCTCGATCTGGACTGATATTGTGTCTACAACATAAAAAGTAGCAGGTCCCGGAGTGATTCAGGAAATAGTAGGATACAATTGTCACGCTCAGCCATGGAAATGAAACGTTTAGTCATAAAAATAAATATGTGGCGTTATATTTACAGAATCAGAACATTTTGTATCGATACAACATCACCATAGCAACGGAGATCACTTTACAAAGCTATGATCCGGAGGCGCTGTGAAAAGTGAAAAGGAACGGAGTCACTTGCTGGACCGTATGGGTTTAGGTTTTTTTTTCATACAGTAGATTTGGGTATTTATATAAATAATGTTGATATATTTATAGATAACAGTGTCATTTAAGAACCTTTTAGTCCGCAAGCACTTAACTCATACCTGCCTGGTCTAGGTTGAATGAAAGATTACATCCAGATTATTACAGCAACTAACCGATCATACATGTTACAAATTATAGGATAAACAAAACGTTTTAATAAGTTAAAACTTGCCACGTTAGATGAGATCGTAGAGCAAGTAAATTGACCTTAAGATTATGGTCCATTCCGGGTTCATTCCCTTCCATGACATATGCGGGTTTCTCAAACTGTTGAATCCATAATCAAGATTATTTGCTCGACCACCCATTAACACAGACAGGTTCTTTAAGGCCAATGTAAGGGGAATAAAAAAGGGAACCAACATCAAATAAAAGAAAATGCAAAACGATAAAATCTCAAAATTGTTAAAAGAAAAAATGAAATAATCACATTTGCATTTATAGACAAAACTAAAAAGCGGAAATGCATTTCAATAACAATACATTTCACCAACATTGTTTTTGAAAGTACATATATGTTGTATGCCCCGTGTATGTTGTTCATCGGGGTAGCTTCCGGCTACTTCAGACAAATCGCCGCCGAAAGACTTCACAAGAAGTCAAGCACACTACGATGCACAAAACAAATAGGCCATAAATGTTCGTTAAAAGCAAGAACCTGCAATAAGTTTGATCATGGAGATCACATCTTAATATCTCCAACACGAGCAGATTATCAACATATTGGTAAAAAAGACATAATTTGAAATATGAATAAGAGAAGGGGACCCTGCAAATTTTATGATGGAGTTTAAGTGTTTAGCTTTATTGTATCAGAAGAACGAAACGGCTGTATACTTCAGTTAAGTTCAATTTTTGGCTGTACTGTATCAATTCTGGACTGCTATGAAGGGCAGCATTACAGTTCTGTGGCGTATGTTTTGCTCCATCTTTTTGCTATATTAGAATATGATATTGTTTTTGTTGCAAATATGATTGTACAACATGGTTGACATTGTTGTTACCATGTCTGCCATGTTATTCATCATTTTATAGAATGACATTATTGGATGTATCTTTTTCTCTTTGTTGTTATTGATATATAATATAGGCGCTTTATCCTCGTATGCATGGAAATAATTCACTTGCAAAACACTGATAAAAACGTAATGCGATGTTCGAATTAATTTCAAATATATGGCATATATGTAAAGCAACGATCTTTTGAATATTGCGAGGCTTAGGTCATTCACGTATGACCAAGATGATAAATGTCCTTTTACTAGCTATTTGATAATCAGAGCTTGTCGAGAGTTTTCCTCACACCTTAACTTTTCGGGCGTTAAGTACTCATTCAACTGGCGTATTTTATAAACATATTACATTCTTGCATACTCACAAATTACCTTTCATTCCTCCAAAATCTACCTTTTATAACTGCTGGAAATGAGTTTCTCAGTAGGATGGCGATATTGTGAGAGAACCGATGTGTTATCTTATATCATAGTCCCAAGGGAAATATTTAAATCGTCAAAACAGAAAAAATAAAACATTGAGAAAATACTTTTCAAAGACTGTCTAAGGACACTAATGCACGGTATAGTGTACAAAGGAATATGAAGGTCGCAGCATTAAAATGAGATATTCCCACATGTTTTTATTGCGACTGAATGTATGTGTCTATATATCATCCTAGATTTTCACAGTTAAGGTCATCAATCAAGATTCCTAGACGGGCTAAACATATGTAATTCATGGTTTCGCATATACAATGAATAAAATTGTTCTTGTGCTATCCGATAATTCATCTTTTGAAAAATCCTTTCTGAAGGGCGGTACATTTTAAAGTTTTGCTCGACAAACTTACCTGAGGTCTCAGTCGATGTAAATACTGCCTTAAATCACCTAGAGGACAGTAATCCATTATAAGACATATTTGATTATCAGTCTTTGTACAGCATCCTATAATGCTGACAATATTAGGATGATGTCCAAGCTGCTTCATAGCTTCAATCTCCTTCAAAAGGCTTCTTTTTTCAACAGTATCAGGGCGATCTGTTAAAAAGTTCTTTGTTTGATCAAATCAGATAATTAATGTGAAAAAAGGAAAACAATCTTATTGGCAACAACGCAAAGTTATCATTTTAATTGTAATTGTCATTCTGCATGGAGTCAGGCAGAGGTATCTTCAACATTTAAGTATAGCGCTGTTATGTGACTGAAGAAAATATTCCTAGATCTTGCGAGTTAATTATTTAGATATACATTAACTTTTTATGATGAAAAAATCATTACCATTTATACTATTAGAATGAATATAGCAGAACTTGATTTCTAATATAACAAATGTAAATAAAGTTGAAATACCTTTCAACATCTTCACAGCTACGATTACTTTCTTCATTTCTTTTCCGTCTTTTCCAGGGATCACCAACTCGGCTTTGACAACCTTTCCAAATGCACCTTCGCCAAGGTTGTTTAGAAGCAGCAACATCGAAAAATCGACTTCATATTCGTCAAGAATGATAGGAACATCACCCCCATTACTAGCATAGGAATTGTCATAAAGTGGGTTGGTCTCCTGAAATACAGTCACATATAAGGACTTTTACAAACGGTCAAGATATTTCAAAACTGGGTATATTTTTCATGAAACCTTCTAGAACATCAGGTAATTTATGTCCATATCTATATTTGAGGCAGGTCAATACAAATTGATTTTGTGATAACCTTTTACCAGACTTGTTCCCTTATCTTACCTTCAACATTTGCTTATTTTCATTGTTTTCATTCATCAATGATCCCAGCTCCAATTCATTCAACATTGTCAATAAAGATATTTTTAATGTTCTGACACCGTTTTAATTATCAGAATACGGACACTTAACGGCGTATTCTGCTTCGTTAATACGTTTGATGCAGTACTTTATCATCTAGAGACCTCTCATAAATATTCATAGATATTTTCAAAAATATAAACATTTCATTTTTATCCTTACCTCCGTTCTGGTGGCCCGTTTTACACGGATTTGTTGCCTTTTCCTGTTGGTATAACGGAAAAGAAGAATTGCAATTGCAAGGACCACTATCGATACAGCAACAGAAGAACCAATGAACACTTTATTATCTAAAAAAATAAGAGAAAATCAGTATCAAAATGCTATATGTTTTATTTTTCGACACCACATGGTACTCTTCTCACAATTCATTTGAAAATGTCATTTAAATACATTCGTACCACTAAATTCGCTGGAGTAAGGTATACGATTTTCCTTAATTTACGAATCGAAAACGATTTTTTAAGAATTTGGCATTGTGCTAACAAAAGGGCACCTCACAATGAATTCGCAATGAAATTTTCAATGAAAAAGTGTAAATGTATATAAAGGATGATAATTATATTTAAGGAAGAGAAGGCAGATAGGTTGAATGATAATAATAGATAGTAATGGCACATGATAAAGAAACATTATATTGATATTATGATTATGGAGTGTTTATTTAACATTCTTATATTTCACGCATTAAATCATAATAAGATATAATACAAGAAAGTCGAAATAAAAAAAAAACCTTCAATTTGAAAACAAAATTCATGTAATAAGAAAGGACTGACATTTGCTGGTTTATCGACTACAACTGTCATATAACTTTAGGTCAGATCCAAATTAGTTAATAAAAATGTTGAATCTCGTCTTAAACCTTAAATGACGTGGCAATCTTACTCGTATTGTAGTCTTCATAACAATTTTATGCGGTATCTTGCGTAGCCAGCACAATAATATATTTACAAACATTATCCATAAAGTGCAAGTTTGTGCAACTTAAAACAATTACGTACCTGGTATATCCATAATTGTCGCTGTGGTTGCATTATTTGTCTCTTCACTGTAATCCACAGAACCTATGGCATTTCAATGAATTAATGATCGATTTACTTTATCTTTTAAACATTTGAAGTCGTTTAAAGGGTATCAAGAATACAATGAACTGTTTTCCTGAAAATTTACTTTCATGCCGGTCGAGCAGCCTTAAGGAAAATACAATTCGTGGATAAAAGCTGCCAACGGCATCTCAAAGTCATACATCATGGATATCAGTGATATTTTTATAATTTTTTGTTTTGTATCTGTTGGAACGCTTTAAACTATTTTTACGTGCATAAAATGTCTGTCTCAGAAATTTTATCTTTACACTGAAATTTATGTATCTGTACATCTACTTTAAGTTTGTGCGAGTGTGTATGGCAAGTATCTTTTATGACTAACTTCCTCTTTGCCTTGTGTCAATCTCCGAGTTTTGTTTTTAAAGCTTATTTCTTGTTCGTTTTAAAATAAGCCATATTCATTGATCATCTATTAATTTCTCGTAGTTGATAATCTATATCGGCTTTGCATATTCTCTATCTTGTAAATACAGTTTGATGAAATGAATTACATACACTTATGACACATGAAACGTCATCAGACTAGATATAAACACGGTAAACAACTCCTAGATAATATTAAGTCACTTACCTAGGTCAACAAATGTAGTGAAGGGGTCGCTAGTGCCACCTGTAGATGTTGCACGGATCTGAATTCTATATTTACTGCTCCAGTGCATCTCTGGGATCACATAGTTGGACTGATTCTGAGAAGAAAGATAACAGGTCTTAGCTGATCACAATCACAGATTAGTCTGCTTATCTCTACAGAGCTTCGTATGTCAATATCATCATTCACACAGATACTCATGAAAAAGTACAAGGAGAATGGACCAAGTGGATAATATGTACAAGGTATCAGAAGTAAACACATAACCCATAACAAAACTATTGTATGACCTAAACTCCTTTTCATTAATTTAATTTAATTTAGAAGCCGCATCTTTCGCAGCTTTGATTTATTTAGTTTTCTCGGTGAAAATAATCTGAAAAGAATGCAAAAAACAATACACAAAATGGTATGAGTTGATGTATTATTTAGGATATCTTTAGTTTCGTGTACATCTATTCGTCATTTGTTCGCATTTTGTTTTTGTCGACTGTTAAAATGACAAAATTTATTATCTAATTTGCAGTAGATTTCATGTTGGCAATATTTTTGGATCAGATTGTAGGCCAAGGTGTATAACAAATGTTAAATTGTAAAAATCTTTGTTGCATTGGTTCCTTGTGTACAAATCAGAGAATATTCCAGGTAACGTAGGAGACAATATCATAGGATAGCTGCCTTTATGGTGGGACATAATAGCAACTGTAGTGATCCAGCGGATTGAAAATCTAAGCCGCTGTATTCCTGAAGTAGTGAGATTTTAGAATGTAAATTTCAGTATGACGACGACGATCTTGATCTATTTAGATACGGTTACAAGTGTATTTGAATTACAGTATATCTGGCTGCTGCTAAATTCATAATTAAGACCAAAACAAAAGGGCACATAACGAGCCTGTATCACTTAACAGTTCAGCAATTCGATTTCATTGTGGAGAAGGATCCTGACAAACGATTTCTGACAAGTCTCCTGGTTCCATAATTGGCCTATCCTTTTTTCTTAGGGGTGGTGAGTTGGAACTCCAAGACCCATCATTTATAAAATTGTTCTGAACCGAACATATCCAATAAGGGTTTGTCAATGCGTCTGACAAGTGTGATATATAACGTCATACCAAGATAGAAACTTTGGCATTGCCTAGTATATCGCGAAACACACTTACCTCAAGCTTCTAGCTTATATGAAATGACACCAATGCTACTTTTTGTCCGAAAGGTTTCTATTTCCATTTAGAATGTCTATATACCTAACTTTGGTTAAAAGCCGCTCAGTCGTGTTTGACAAGTGGCGATTATAAGAAACAACTGACGAATGGAAGGTCGGTGATTTTTGTCATAAACTCTGAAAAAGTGTCGGGCCAGGTGAAGGAACAAAGTAATACTAGACAAATTGAGTAGAAACAAAATTATTATAATAGAGGAAGGATAATAACTAAATAAATATGTATATAATATTTTCTTGTCAATGACCTTAGTCACTTTAACAACAAATGTTCTGAGTATATTTTGACTAAGTGAGATGAATAAAGACTATTTAAATTCCAATCCAAGTTTTCTTCATTTCATAACAGTTTCCTTATATTGAATTTTATTTCATTACTAATGGCTTGTTCAGCTTGATAAAAATCATTGTTACCTGAGTATACTATTAACCTCTCAAATTATAGATTTAAGTGGTTAAAATATTGTAAGTATCTACTTGATTCATTAAAAAGCAAAAAGGTATTCATCTTTTGCAAACAAATATAACAACACCGGGGAGTAAGATATTTAACATAAAGCGATATATAAATACTTTTACCTGTAATAACGATAATAATAATAGAAAAAAAGACGGTGTCACAGAGGTCATATACAGTATAACTAGCGAGAACTGTGTAACCCACATCATCAACACAGTTATAACTGTTACCATCGGATATTATCTGCAGATCCGAGTGTGAATAACACACGCAACAGACTCTTTTTATAGTAAATAGGTTAAATATACATATTTATGAAACTGATAGACATGATGAATCAATTACATGTTGGCCGTTGGCAGTTAATACACTGGGTCGTGGACAACGCACGTGTATCATCTTGATATACTGCCACTATCGCCACGGGTTAACAATCACAAAATTATTCCCCTTCCTGAGACTTAGTTAACAATAAAATACTCGTTCGGGACACTCGGTCTTATTTGCCTTGTACTTTTTCAGGAGTCTCCGTTACAATCTGTCTTTTGTTAATAGTTTGCCCCTGTAGAATTTGAGTTTGTACTATGTTGAAATGTTGGTATTTCATTGTTGTTATCTTTCAATATGTTTTGTCCGTATTTTACGCGTCAGTTATCATAGATTCGTTTTAAAATAAGATAGTTATCATCCAACACTTTAATGATCTGAAATTATGAGAAAGATTCTTACCTCAAACAAAAAAAAAAGAATATAATACATAACATATTTTCAACTTACTTTCAAAGACATCTTTGAAAACATTGAAAGGTTTTGATATAATCTTGCACAATTTTACACATTTCCAAATATATGAATCGTTTCCCATAACCTTCAGTCAATCTATTTTCTTATCACCCCAAACGGCATTCAACTGAATGTAGAGGTCGTTCAGTAGGAAGAGTATCGCACTAGTGCAAGATATGTTGAATTTTTGGTGCGGGTTGTGTTTCACAAGAAAAAACGAGTATCCTATACTGTCGCGGTTGTATCTTTAACCTCAGTTGCTCTAGATAGCATGCCACGGGCTGTCCGTGTTTTGTGCGATGATTTTACACCTTCCAACGATACCTACCGTGACGAACTGATCAACCTACAGCGCTAATAGTAGCCTCACCGGAGCGATAGTTACGCTGCCCTTATCAGGGTCCACGAGGGGTCCCATATGCAGCGGGATTTCTTTAGACCACTCGAGAATATAGCCAGTCAGTTTGTTGTTCGGACCAACATGAGGTGGAGGCTCCCATACAAACGTTGTGTTTCCCCTAAGGAGGCCGTCATTCACATATGTTACCTTTTCTGTAGCCGAAATGTTTTGAGGTTCTTCCGGTTCTGGAAAAGAATCATAATTCATATTCCTAATAATTATTTGCGCTTTAGGTTTTTGTTTTAAATCTCATTAGTGTCACTTTTTGTTTTGTTTATGGCGAAATGTTATAGTATTCTTCTGATCTCGATAAACCGATTTTGTACCCAAATACTTCAAACGTAATGCATCCAGAAATACAAATTTTAACATGTCAACGAGTTAAGGAATACTCAATGTACATTTTAATTGATTTTAATGTCGCCCTGTCGCCGAATTTGATGTAGTCAGTCTCATTGTTTCGGAGTTGAGTTATTCAGTAGTCGAAATAGTCTTCTCTTGAGCACAGGCAGCCAGTTGAATCCATGTGATGTCTTTCGAAGTCTGAATTTCCTTCAGTACTCAAATTAAGATGAAGATGCTAGTGTGAGCTTGGGCATTGTCTTGAGTTTGCGGTGTCATCCTTCTAAGCTGTTGGTTGTTTTAGGTCTAAGTTGTTCAGTTTACACAGTTGGTGAACGCTGTGGTGTCCACGGGTAGGTCGACGTCCTCCAGGTCATTCATTGCGTTGAACCAGTAGTCTTTTACATGCTGTGGAGGAAGGAAAGAGAGTACAGCAGCACGGCGAATTAGTATATGGATGTCTTCGGTCTCTCAGTGGTAGGTCTGGAGTCCTTGTTGTTAGGTCTTCCTTCAATTGCACTGTGTGAAGTGGAAGAAGCGAACTCTTAAGGTGACTCTGGTGAAAATTGTTTTGGCGGTATTTTGGTTAGCAGACTTGTAGTCTATGAAAACTATAGTCGGGTTTTTCCAACACAGATTTCAGTTTCTCCAGGAGTCTGGTGAAGATGGCTTCTGACTTCTCTGATAAGCCTGATAGTTCTATGTAGAAACTCCCGTCACAGTATAGTGTATCAACTGCTGCTACGGCTCTTTTGTTACCGGTGGTGAGGAGGCTAGAATGCGGAGGCTGTCTCTGTTGTTATAACATAGCAGAAACTAGTCGATATTGTTGCTTTGGGTGTATTCATCTTCCAGGTCGGGATCTGTTAAGGATGTTGGTAGCGTTGGTAGGCGCTTGCTGCTGGAGCGGTAAATGGATGTCTTGCAGGATGTGTAGGTTGGAAGCTGTTCTAGTAGTTGTATCTCAGCTGCATGGCCAAGGATCTGTAGTATGGCGACCTCTTCAGCGTAGATGGCGGGTATGTACGTGCTTGAGTTCCCTCTCTGCACCTCTTCATTATGCTGTTAGTGATCCTCTGAACCTCCCCCTAGAAGCGATCGCTTAGATGATTGTGTTGGTGGCCAACTTCCACAGGAACGTCGTCGGTGGTTCAGTCTCGACCACACCATCTACATTAGGTAGTGTCTCAGTAGTTGTTCTTCACCATGTATCGGTAACCAGCCTGGAGCAGAGTCATACCATCACGTCTATTAGCAGTAAACTGGATTTGCACTTAATAGTTCGCCATTATGAGAATGATGAAGTCGCTAAGAAATTGACTGTAAATGTACTTGTTTCATAGCTTTGGTATTCACCTCACAAACTTATAATTACTCGATGAGTAGATTGTACCTCTGGATCAATTACACTAGCTTGGGTTTTCACCTCCCAAACTTACGATAACTTGGAGATAAGATTTTACCGCTGGAGCAATTAAATTAGCTAGGGTATTCACAACCTGAAAATTATTTGATGCCAAGATTTTACCTCTGGAGCAAATTACCTCATTTACAAGTAATTAGTGACATCTCACCTTAAGTTGATTTCAGGGAAATCACAAGCATCAACTTTTAAAAAAAGATTTCTTATGAACTACGGTTAATTACCGTAATGGGAATGTCCTTTTAAACTAATACATAAATTAATCATATAATAAAAGAACAATATGGTTCAACTATTCATTGCATTCTATTTAACGATAATAGGAAATATTGATCATTTTCACAATTAAGGTTTGCTACCCCCTTAGAGGTACCTTAACTGTTAAAACAACACGCTACCTAGATTATTTAGAAAATTGTTCGGATAACCAGCATCCACTTTCTTCCTTTTTGCGACAAACATGACGACACCCAAAAGGGAACGCTACTAACAAATTATAACGTTAAAAATAACGCCAAAAGTTCAGAGATAATACTTTCTTATCTTGTCTATTAAATTACAAACTGTGGTATACCGTTCGAGAAAGTAGGGTTACTCTGATGGATCATCTCTGTCTGTTGGAGGTGTGTGTATTGAGAATGTTTGTCTTAATGAGGCAGTTATATGTTCGTAAATGCCTACGTGAGATAGTGTGGGACTGATTCCGAGGTGATAGTACTATCACACTGATTGATACTGCCGAAGGCACCTAGCAGAACACTCCATCGTTTCACCTCAGAGTGAAAATGGGGAAGGGACGGAATTGTGCTACTGAAATGCTTTGTGATGAGCAAGGAGAAATAACTACCATTTTATAGATCCTGGTATGTCTCGGCCAGGGGACAGTTTTCAAAGGTTTCCTAACTAGGACAAGCATGCATCTTAAGACCAAAAGTGAAGCAGTGCGATGGACGTTTTGGAAACGCACGCAATAGAAGTTTCAATAGATAAAAAAAAGTAATATCCAAATTTATCTACTTCTTACCAATTTTTGCATTGGATACCCAGATATCCAGATATCATTCAACAATACAAACCCTACCTTCCGGTCTGGTACCAGATGTCATGTGTCATGATATTGCAGTGAAATGACAGACATTGAATATATCCTGCAGGGACATGTATGCATATATATGTATATCAAGCAAATAATTTTATACACGAAAGTTCCTGTTATCACCTGACTAAACTAGGATGTGACATTTTTACACTAAGCTAGCCCTTGACATTTATAATTCTATGATTTGCCGATTGAGTCTTTAATAATTTATACACGGAATCAATGTCATGCTTATGTTATTACTATGAACATGACACATCATTTTACAGTGTATATAAGTGTAAAGAGTTTGTGGCAGATATAACTAAAAACAATATTTATTACCTTAGGAGTGAATAGACGTTACTGCGTACATGTGATCTCCCTAATATCCGTGAAGATTGTAAATGGTTATCTCCAGATCGTGCTGGAGCTAAAGTATTATTAAATTAGTTTCGTCATCAAAATATAATGAGCATGGTTTCTCTATTTTTAATCTCACACATTAACTGAAGGGCAGTAATATGACAAGTAATCAAACCAATTAATATTCCAATATTTTTTGTTTTATATTTCATTGATGAATCAATGTGCATAAACTGCATACCAATCATAGTCTATGTTATTAATTCCTTCTGTATGCCATTAATTTGCTTCGTTTATAAATCAATGTGTCATAATCTGATTTTAAAAGCGACGTAACAATTTCGACTTCATCTTAAAAACCTGTTGGGGTTTCAGTAACTCATAAACACATGACAGGTTTTATGAAATGTCACACATAAATTCAGTACGGTTCAGCCTTATGAACTCGCAAAGCAATTAATATTCCTGTTAATTACATTCTAATTTTTTAAGCCAATCAAAATTCATTAGAGATTTAAGAAACAGCATATCAAGCTAGAATCACAATTGTTGACAATGTTATTGACCTAGACACGTTAAAACAAATGTGAAATTATTACATACCACAAGCAACAATCAACAATATTATTACGAGTGGCACATTCTTAACGTCAAATTACGAAAAAAAGTTTATTAGGACCAAGATATTGCAGACAGAAAAACGTCCAGAGGAAACATAATAAAACAAACATATCATCATATATGACAAGTAATTATATCTGTATCAATATAACAGTCGACGAGGAACAAATGCACAGTATGGCGACTTACTACAGACGGTATAATTGAAGTTTGTAGCGCTGAGGCACTGCAGTGTTTGGAATGACATCTTCGTGACGTTACTACCTCTGGTGAAGAGTGGAGAAGGATAACTGTATATACTCACAGTGTAATTGCAGTCAAATTGGAGTCGGTTCATCCAATAAACGAATGCAGGAGGAGTCTAAAATAACAAAACAACAGTTATAAACTTGGTAATCCATATCATTAAAATGCAATTGGCATATATGCTGCAATCTAGTCAAAGGTAAACAAACATCGAATCCGCATCTTAGTTTTAATATGATTCCTTTCCTTTCAATCACATAATTATTTCATAGTAATATGAACAATACAATAGTGACATCTTTACATAGAAATCATCTTAGTCTTTTCTTCTCCTCGTCAATTTTATATTGCATGTCATTTTCATATTCATTTACATGATCAATATCTATATTTATCGTACGTCATTGTAAAACATGAAAAGACTTATATTTACTCAGGAAAGCTAAGATGTAAGCTAACTAAATGGATTTGAAGTCTATGAGAGCTTAACCAAAAACACAATATCATTCCATGCATATAAACATATGTTGACTGAACCGAACTACACTAACGTCTGGCATTCAAATCGACAAGTTCAGTTTTTTTTCTGTTCAACCGAATTAAAGAAATTAAAATTCGTTCTAAAAATCAAACACTATTTTGGAAAATGAAACTTAAAAACATCGATACTTTCTCGTTAATCTCATGATATCATTTCATTCAAATATGCATGTTGCACAAATGTAAACATTATTTGAAACTTAAGCTTAAACATATTCGCATTGTAACTCCTACACTATGATGATTATGCACTTGTGACATATTAAAAAATCTTTTCTGTTACACAAAACAGAAGTCTCAAATCAACACGTAACAACGACAACAACAATTTGATAGTTATGTGTGCACTTCTATTTTTCCTTAAATAGAAATTGTTACATTACAAAATACAAACAAGAGGTCCACAATACCTGTAACCTGGTGTAATTTGCTTAAATCTATTAATTTAAACAAACGAAAATTATTTAAAACTCTTTCTATGTTTTTTTCTGCGTAATAGGCTTGCCCCTCCTCCCAGAGGGGGTTAGATGCAACGTTTGTACAAATCTAAGTTGTCTTCACCACAGATGTTGTCAGTTTGAACAGAAGAAAGGGTATAAAGATTTTGCCCTATTTTCACTTTATGGTCCTTTCGCTCCTGCACCATGGGATCGAAACTCACTGTTGATATTGAACCCCATCACCAAAGCATGTCTGAGAACAAATGGAGACAGAACCCAGCCATTCCTACGAAAATCTCCACAAGAGAGATTCTTTTTCACCAAAGAATATTTCCTACTAAATATGAGAAAATCCAATGGTTTCAATAAAAGCATTTTAAAGAATCGCTTTATTTCCACTATTGGGCTGAGTTCCACCTTATATAAGAAATGAATTGATTTCCTTTCACCCAAGAGTGCTTCAGAACAAATCTGGGCAAAATCAAATCATCACAGCAGGACGGGTAGTATTTTAAAGAGTTCGAGTTATAAAATATCAATTATTCAATGGACCGGTAATGTTCGTGTTTTATCGATTAAATATATGTAAGAGTTGTTAGGCTATGTCAAATTACTTAATAATTGCGAAAAAGTATCAAGAGGTATAAGATTAATTTCTTTCTATGTTGTTACCTCGTTTAGATATGCATGTTTATGATGTTATAGTTACATTGCAATATATCTTCATGTGAAATTATAAAGATGTTTTGTGTATTCACGCTGTCAGTCATATGCTATAATAAATAATCAACTAAGACGATAATTATATGTAAATTGTAATGTCGACCTTCATAAGTCAACAATATATATGTGTGTGTGTGTAAAATTGTCAAACTTGAATAATTAAAAAACTAAAAAAAAAAAAACAAAGCGCATTAAAGAATGTAATCAGGATCAAATATGACTTTTCGTCCTTTATTTAATTCCATGTTGCCAACTCATTTGAATATGTATGTACGTGGTATAATATTTGCATATATCTTATTATATCTAATATGATATGTCATCGTGTTTGCTCAGAAATACACTCGAAATAAATTCGCAAAAACACTGTAAATAACTGCTGACATCAAACGTATTTAGCATATTTAGCGAAATTAAAAAAAAAAAGAAAAAGAAAAAACAAAAGAAACTAAAAAGGCATTTATTCCAAGCTAAGATGTATTTCTCGCAATTATTTTCAGGTGAAAAAGGACAGCAGAAAAGGACAGCTATTTCACAAGGATATACGTGGTTAAGTTAACTGTCTAGTCTGCAGAACAAGGATGTTGAAATTTGAGTTTTATCTCCCTGACAATTAAGAATAAGTTTCTATTCAACAGGGAATGTTTGTGACAAATAAAATATTCATACTGTTGAGGGAGTTGAAAGGATTGCTCTCGATCGGGCCCCATCAAATAGGTAATTCATCATTAGTAAAACTTAACTTAAAACGTCAAACAAAATATAACAATATAACATAATATACTAGAGGTAACAAGAAACGGTGCATGTGTAAAAAGGCTCATATATTGTTCATTTTTGCCCAACTCTTCGTTTTCGCGTTCTTTTCCGACCAGCAGTCAATTGCAAACACGTCTGTCGCCTAAACCTGTGTACAAGCACAGTGTAATTACCTGTAACACAAAAAACATTATCATTTTAATAAAACGACTTTGATACGCCATGCCAAGGTTGAATGAATGCCGTTAGCATGACCGAGGCTGATGTACGCCATACTGACATTGCCAGACAATTAAGTGTGAACAGAAATACTGTAGACGCCTTGTGGAGACGGTACCAACATTTTGAGACCATAAGAGTTCAGCCTCAGTCAGGACGTCCATGTGTAACGTCTAATCGCCAGGATACGTAAATTCGGATCGTTAATTTCCGTGAACGATTCAGAACTGCTTCTTTGACGGCTTGAAGTATTCATTGCTTTAAAAGAATTAGTCCCCGAACGATACGTAATCGATTGCTTGATCGTGGCATACGTCCACGACGTCCAGCTATAGGTCCTGTTCTCCAACAATATCATCGTGTAGCACTTTAAGCCCGGTGTAGACGACACATACAGTTCACGCGGCAGGACTGAGCACGTGTTCTTTTTACGGATGTGTCAGGTTTCATCTCGACAGCAGCAACGGGTCGTTTTAGAGTGTACCGTCGTGTTGTGAACGTTTCCATGACAGTTGTGTGGTTAAGGACGTCCATTCGGCGTAGGTAATGATTGTGTAAGGTGTGCAACAGGATAACGCTCGCCCGCACGTCGCGTGGGCCATCACAGACTTATTGATCCAGAACAATGTGAATGTGCTGCCCTGGCCTGCAATGTCACCGGATGATGAGATAAAGCGTCGTTTACGTCGTCTCCAAAATAAGCCGTTGACTTTACCCGACCTATCACGTACGCTTGTGACAATCTGCAATGGTATTCCCCAGGCATTTTTTCAGCACACTTGTTGCATCAATGAGACGTCGTTGTCAAGCATTCATCGATTCCAATGGTGGACATACACAGTATTGATGAGCTGAACATTGTTTATCGAACATCTTTGAAAATTATTTTCTATCCAATACGCTGCTTATGCAAAAGCTGTATCAATTGAGCTGGTCTTAAATAAAAATCAGATAAAAACCCTGCTAAAATATCTTTTGGCGATTTCCTATATACTTACTAAGTTATAACATTATACCCATGCACAATTTCCTTTTTCCGCTAGTATATAATGATTTCAAACGCTAGCCTATGGATATATCACTTGTGAACGTCGCTTTGTTAAATGTGCGGCCAAAGCCTATGCTTTTACAAAATGTTTTCCTTTTCAACAACATATTGGGATAAAAGAAATATTGATAATTTGATTGATTCGAACTGATGCCTAGTAGAAAGGAAAGTTAATTCAATTCATGTTTTGATCTTTCCTCTACTCTTCTTATTACTTTTTCGTTGATCTACGATTAGTGTTCAGCATTCAATAAACATTTAGGACTAGTAGATCTGTTGTAAGTACAACGCGACTACCTGGCTCAGCTGTGATATGCGGTGAACAGATTATATCCGATTGATTATATATTCTTAACGACCTATCACAAAAGCTTACCAGGGTCAATGCATTGTGAGTTAAAACCTATTAAAGAAATATCATCAATTGAAAGAAAATATGAAAGGTCACATTTTCATAATTAAAAGATGAACAATGTCATCTTATTTTTTAACATAAAAGTGGACAGACATAGAGCAATTGGTATCGTGAATTCGTAATCGATTGTTATAGATTACAAAATCGTATGTAATTGACAGTAATTAGTGATTGAAGACCTTTTCAATTACTTGTAATTGCATTTGATTACAGTGAAAATTACTGTGAAATTGTAAATACTATTCAATTTCATTTCAATTACATGTGCTTTCATATGTGAAAGTAGTGCGATAAAATAATGGGTACTTCGTTTACTCTCTGACATTATATTCAGTAGTCAGTACTACAAATGTTCTTAACTGCTCTAATTAGTGTGTACAGGTAAGTGTTCTAACCTGCCCTAATTTGGGTATACAGGTAAGTGTTCTTACCTGCTCTAATTAGAGTCTACAAGTAAGTGTTCTTAACTGCTCTAATTAGGGTATACAAGTAAGTGTTCTTACCTGCTCTAATTAGAGTATATAGGTAAGTGTTCCTACCTGCTCTAATAAGAGTATACAGGTAAGTGTTATTAACTGCTCTAATTAGGGTATACAAGTAAGTGTTCTTACCTGCTCTAATTAGGATATACAGGAAGTGTTCTAACATGCTCTTATTAGGGTATACAGGTAAGTGTTCTTACCTGCTCTAATTAGAGTATACAGGTAAGTGTTTACCTGGGTGCCCTACATATGCATGTCAAATAAGATGAACCAGACGGACCATATGCCGATGTATCAATGACCATTTTTTCTAAATCCTTCATTCGCTTATTAAAACAGTTGAATTCAGTTGTTTGTTTTGTTTTACATTGTGAAGTTCACACCTGTTTAGATGATCAATAAATATAAAAGGTGTAGGTGAAATAATAAAACTTTTCAAAAGTTGATGATGATCAAATTTCATCCATCAAAGGTTTATTTGCATAATGTTGTTATCATGTTATTGTTTGTATTATAATAATCACTTATCCCTTTTCTATGACACTGACTAAAACTTACACTGTTATCTTTAATTGTGAGAACAAAAATATCACGTGTTTGCAGTAGGTCACCGAAATTAAATGTGTTTTTATCGCAATTTTAATAAAATACTATCCACTGAGGATGGTTGTTAATGTTTTAAAGTTAAATGTTTTAAGCGATGCAAGATTTGATACTTTTGTGTTGACAATGAGTACGAACATATATAAAGGGGCAGCATGCTTGTTTTCATGGATCGACTTTAAATCAAAACATAATAGTTAGTTTAACACGAGAGGAATTAGGATGTAAGTTGAGGCTTATGGTTAAAATTGAAATATTTCTCAGTGTAGATTATCTGCCATAATCATAGTTTATACGGGTTCCTGATGAACATATTCCAACGACTGACCAACTACAACTCTTAGGAAATCATAGCCAATACAAAACGACAGTCGCTACATCAAACAACAATGACAAATATTGGTAGGTTTTTGGGTTGGAAAACAATTCCTCAGAAATGTTAAATTTAGTGAACACTGCGTTAAATTTCACTTGCACTGACTACTTTGAGTGGGCATTGAAAGTGACCACCAGTAAAAGTAATTTGCCCTGAAGTGCTTTAACCATGTGCATTAAACACGCTTGAAACCTATAAAAGTAGACCACAGTAAATCTTCCTTAATATTACTTTTTTGTGGAAATAACTCGACCGTAAGATTTTGCCTATTATATGGAAAGGCAATCATATATATATATAAGAATTCTCCGTTTTTTTTTTTAATTTGTAATTTCATCCCTACGATTTAATCTATACATGCACTTGATTAGATAAAATTGCCATATAGTGCTCCCGTTCAGAAATGAAATGAGAGAATTGGCCTTACAAATATGAATCATGATTATGATAATTGGCATTTTCCACGTGTTTCAAATGCAAGTATTTATCTGTTCCATCGGAAGTAAGCATCGTCACAATCGCTTCGGAATGAACATTGGTTTGTTTTGGACTTAAAGTTTTCATATGTGAGAAAGTTAAGCTTGGTTTGGATTTTTATTGTTTCACGTTTTATCAACAGCTTTTGCCATTTAAGGTATCTCATTTATGCGGAGAGAGTGCATGCATGATTTCTAGATGCGTGATTTATCCCTGTGTGAACCAGATGTTGACGTTGTAGTGTGGTAAAGAATGTAGAAAAGAATGTCAAGAACAACAGGATAGTATTGATTCCGACACTGGTTGTGTAAAATAAGAATAGATAACAGAGATTTATACACCGATTTTAATTCTATATATCACTTTCTTATTTAGTTCATGTATAGTTTATGTAAAGGAGATCGGAGTATATCAGGCCACGACCGCCTACCGGGGTAAAGCGTATGAATACATGTTCGATGGTCAAGGTGGCACATCAACCTAAACGCAATCTATTAGATATGAACGTAAATTTTACAATAAATGTTGAATTCGCTCATATACGCAAAATCATAATATATGAGACCGTATACTACTACCAGGTAAACAAAACTGGCCGTCTTTTACATTCAATTTCGATATACTGACATATCCGAAGTTTAAGTAAGAGGCCTTCACAACAAAAAGGTAACCTTACAAAGCTATAAAGATAGAACAGAACAAATATATTGGTAAACATGTAATTTTGAGGCAAAATCCTCATTATCAAATAACACGAGAATTTCAAGTTTGTCAGTTTCACCTCCTGCGTGGACATCGATCTGACAGTTCAAACATACAAAAGCTGAATCCGCTACAAACAAAATGTCCTCACTTACTAAAAGGAGAGACTTTTAGTTATAATTTTCTTTGCAAATCTATTCTGATGGTCACATCAACCCATTCCATGACACGAAAACGAAATTAATTCACGTAGAAACACTGTGCACATCGTTTCGTGAAATCTGACTGAGAGACCATCTTTACGTAATATCAATGCGCTATAAAAACTGCATTATTTCAAATGAAAAGTGATAAATTAAATTAATTATTCCAAATGTTGCGATATTTCATTTCTTTTTAATTAATAAATCAAGTTCAATTTGTGATTATAGTATTTCATAAAATTGGTATTTTTGTTGGTACGCGGAACTATATGATTTCGGCTGTTTAATTTGCTGACGTCAGTATTTGGTTAAGCAAGAAATTTAAACGACGTGTTCTTGTTTTTTTTTTGTTCTGATTTTTTATAGATATTTGAGAATGGAAAAATAACTAATAAACTGTTACCAGTTGGGGTTTACAGTTGACATAAAGCCAACGATGAAAAGAATGGCGTCCTTACCCCATCTAGTATCAGTTGATTGGCTTACTATGAAAGGGATGTGCTTGAATAATGTGTAATTATTTACTAAATCGATAATCTATATACAACATATTACATCACTGACAATGACTGGTCACAGTGAAAAGGTTAAGGAAGAGAGGCAAGAATCATTGGTGTGAAAATAGTAGAAAACAAAACTTACATCTGGTTTAGATAAAAACATTAGACCTGTAGTGCGTATTTTATCGACACGTACAGTCACAATCTGGAAAGTAACATTAAAGGGTCAATTAAGCATACTAATGATCTGATTTCCTCAAAAACATGTTTTCTATCTAGTGCTGTACATTGTAATATCTCGCTTTCGCTGTCCAAGGAAGACGAAACGGTGGTATGATACAGGTTGCTTCAGGGTTTGACTCTACTGTAGCTTATCTGAATTTCTATTTCATCATTTCGATTGACATTTGGTGTCGCGAGAATGTAAAACATCATTCACATTGAACATATAAAATACATTTGTTTATATGCATGATGAATCTGATCACTTCTTAAATAACACTGATATATAACCCTGGCCAGGGATGGGCTTTTCCAGCCATCATATTTCCTGAACCTCAGGCTATCTAGTTTTTATCATCATCTTGTTTTGAAATACACGTATAACGGAAACGTTAATCATCAGTCGTTTTAGCATTTGTTTTTCTCAGACATAGGAATATCAAAAACAAATATCTTGTAATAATCATTAATAGTTCCTAGCCTACCAATAATTGGTAAAATAGTTGGATATGACATAAATAAAGTCGATTTTGAACAGGATTTCCAGAACGGATTTAGAAGTGTGCTTGCTGTCTCCCTTAAGCAATCTAGACAGCCACATAGCTAATCAAACGAACTTCTTTTCAGGCTGAACACTCAGTTCTAGAATCTGACTAAAGAATGTTTCACTGACCCCATTCCGAAATGGTTGTTTATTACCCTATTGACAGCTGTGACATACTAATTAATTGCTTGACTGTATCGTTTGATATCATGATTACAGAAGGAGTCTCAAGCAAGAATCATCAAGAACCAGTTCAAAATATTGTATATCAAGACAGAAAATAACTATTACCTTCCTCACCGGGGTAGCCGCGAAACGAAAAGACGAAAATTGATTTATTGTGAATGGATGAAAATATAAAGTCATTGAAAGAGACTTTGATCGGAGATGGATAAATTCTATAAAAGTCATTGAAAGAGACTTCGATCGGAAATGGAAAAACAAATCATTAAAATTTACGGTAATTATCTTTATCCAGTCAGTCCTAATTTCTAACACACACAACGAGTCAGCATTACCTTGATATATTTAGAAGATATTTATAGTGGGATTTCTAGGAAAAGGAGATAAAACTTTTTGATTATAAAACTCCATGATGGCCATCTGTTGGTCATCTGCTTTCCAGATATCTACTTCTCAAAAACATTACTTGTCGAATTACTCGGTTGTCGGACATTTTATTTATCTGATATCAAAGTTTCAGAATTCTACGAACATATATATCTTCGCGCTCCACATTTCTATTGGAAATGTATGGTTTATATCTAAGTTATACTTAATCACACATAAAGCGATGATTTTTAACACACGGGTGATGTTACGTGATAATCAGACAAGAAATGCAGATTTTAGAGCGGTGACGTCGTACGTACGGGCGAACCCTAATCCTTCGACAACTTCGTCCTGAGTGTATAATGAATTACCTTCGAGATTCTTAATGTGATTGCGATAACCTTCCATCGTACCAATATCACATAGCTGTCCGCCGGCTAATTTGTTTTCCACAAACACTTCAAAATTATCACGCACAAGAATGCCAACATACATATAAATTTTGAGAAAGATCAACACAATACTTTAGGATAAATAGAAATAAAAAAAACTTCAACAATGAAAATCAAAGGTTGAACGTTATTGAATATTCCCCTACATGTGCAAGATATTGCGATTGGCTAATCGTTGACCGTTATCAGAAGGCTTAAACGTCTGTAGTGATTGCTCTATTGTCAAACACAGAAAGGTAATGATCAAATATTTGAGATAATTAAGCATCACTGGAGAAAATATGACAAACACATTTCTATTTTCGAGACAGAACCAGCAGCTTCAGGCTTAGATTTTGATAATTAAAGGCATATAATGAGAGAAAAGTATATTAGCAAAAACAACTGTACCAAGCTTAAGTGCATCTTGTCATCGGGCAATTGATAACGGTTCACACACAACCTACAGCAGGAGAAACAAACAAATGCTCCAGGGAGAGGTATGTGATAAGTGTTTAAAAATCTGCCTATTGAGTGTAGGAATTGATTGAAGCTGTCCAGATACGGAAACCAAGTCTCTGGAGCTCATGTTTTGGCCTCGAAAAAGGCTAGAAATAGAATATACTTGCTCATTGTTTATCGCTGCTTACGAAGCATTCAGTAAAATACACAAATCAAGTTACCTCTCTTGCGTAAAGGTGGTTTCATCTTGTTTGATTAATACAGTGTTTCCGATTTTGTTTCATATTTCTATAATTTCATGACGAAAAATAGAATATATCGGCAGCTTACCTTTATTTCCTCCTCCATAAAGTCTCCTCTTTTACTTTGCTCACAGGTAGGCAGCCAATAGATTTTGTAGAAGCAGGATTTGTCTATTGAAGAAAAGAAATGACAAGTATATTTTATTGACATAACTCTCGCAGAAATTAAAGATATACATGAAAGAAATGATACATTAATTTAAGTCTACACTGTAAAGAAATTACAATCCTACAACTCAAATAAACTATACAATAATACCACTTGCATTACCTTGAGCAGCATCCCAGCTTATCTTCGCACTGACGGCCTGCTTGTAGTATGTCTGCTTTTTAATCTCGACATTTACTGGAGGTTTTGGGATGTGATTATCTGAAATTACAAAGCGGAAATATTGCACAATGATTTATCACTCACAAACATAGAGTTATGTTGGAAATTGCAATTCACCTGTGTGTCTTTTGCGCATATATCAGGGATAGGTGATTCCCGACTATCCGTGAACATATATTCCAGCAACAAGACAATACAGCATTCACACTTTACTGGTTGAATGCACGATAAAACAGTATCACTGAAGGGGGAGTTTTATAAAAAAAGAAAGAGAGAATACTAACATGTCAATCAATGAACGTTACCTTCACAAATGTTATGTATGCTATGTCACCTATTTGGGTGCATCGTCTATTTACCAGGAAGTGTTGTAATAAACTGTGTCATCTTGCTCTCATCCACCAACCCTTTCGATGACACAGCGGTCACTTTGAAGCGGTAGGTTGTATTCAACGTCAAATTTCGTATTGGCAGAAACGAAGAACTGGTCTAAAACAAAAGGTCTCGTTACAAAGATAATTTTGTTTCAATCTGATTACCAAAAGCTTGTATGCATTAATCAGTGTTAAGTTAACCCAATGTAAAATCATTATGATGCTCATACAAAAAATGAATAAGAATTATCGTATCCTTTCACTTGATAATATCTATCTTCATACAACATTATAAAGAAATAACATTGTACGCAACGTTAACACTAGGCTCTTCCCAAGGTAAATTATTAAATAATTTGTTATCAACTAATTACAAATGCACATACATTGTAATATTACATATAGACGTCCTTCATGTTTCTTCAAATTTAAACCGCGCCTAACCGCCGCATAAATACAAATATTGTGGTTGTTAAGCTGCATCTACTGACTTTGCAATGCAACGGTAAATATTGGACATTCCCATACTTGAAAACAATCGTTTCGATGTTGAATACATCTGCTGTGATCTAAAGGTCGGGTGATTAGTTGACGTCATACTCTTTCTTAATAGAAGTTTAATAGTCGAAGACGATAATTGAATTTACATTAACTTCGAAATATTGCAAATGCTTACGTTTATTCTTCACATTAAATGTAAAGATATGGAAATATGATCATTTTGTAAAGTTTCCACGATTTCAACAATTAAAAAAGAAATAATATGCAACCTTTCCGATTGAAGCCCATTGGGATTCCTTGGAGGTGTTGGAGAATCGCTGTAGCGATATGATGAACTGCAGCTGAGGTAATGCACCAGTGTATTTTTTCTGTAAATCCCATTTCAAATATACAGTTGAAACATGAAGGTTTCCTGCTTTCTTTATGTTGTCTGTGTGCATACAGACGACTGTGGGGTCAAAGGTTGATACCAAAGAAGTCTCGTCTGAAATATATAACATATTTTGACACTGACGGACATTTATTGGCTTTTTATGAAACTGATGATTTGTAAAGAAAAACGAAAATCTGTTGTTATATTGCAATATTCATGTTGGTGACATAATAATGAGATCAATGACACATACAAAAATGATGATGTTTATTAAAATGTCTTTTTTTGTAAACAAACAATGCGACTAGGATTGTACTAGGGCGTCATTGTGGCGCATATTTACTTTCCCATACGTGTTTCGCTATAAATTTGATACAAATTGCAAACGAAAGGTCACAGTTCAAGGGCAAAACGTTCGTAATCATACAAGGAGAACACAATACAGTCATCCATATGAAATTTTCCGTCTATATATTATACGCCGCAGTAAGGATAGCAAGAAGATAATGAAACCATTACATACAATGGTGCTAAAAATGTTCTTGCTTTTTTGTTACTTTATTCAAATTTAATAGTTATGATTAAGTCTTATACCACAAAAGAGTAATTTGTTGATTTGGTAATTTATAAATGAGGAATATTCACCAATTTTTACAAAAGTTATTGGCAAACGTTTAATTAGATCGAGTAGTGGCATGGCTCAGAATATACACTTAAACTTTATGTCCTTTTGAAAGACATAGTATTGAAATATATTATCGCATTCTGTGTTTAGTATTCCATCCCATCTGGTATCTGATATTGATTAAGATTAAGTACGATCTTCGATCACTTCTTACCTAGGTTTGAACATTATAGTCTAAAGACAGTGTAATTTATTACCTGCCGAGGAATCATTTGTATCTTCAATATGTGAAGATTGTTCTTCTGTTCAAATATGATATCATCGTTTGTGTGTAGTTTCTGTATATTACAGTATATATATATCATTTGCTAGTTTAGCATTGATCTGAGTTGTTATGGCATTTATGGGCTTGATAAATAACACATTTGAAGAAAATCATAATTCGTAGAAAATGTAATTAAAATCCTTTTATTTAGAAATTCGTTCAATTTGGATTTATCAGTCGCCCTCTTGGACTTTTAACAATAAAGGCTCTAAGTACAATAATAATTCTGCCCTAATTCTACGGAGTTATGTTGTGGTGAACATTTGCACCAATCTACTCCTCGCTTATCGAATCCTGAAAATGAACGAAGTCGACGAACGAGCGTATTTAATCCAAAGGTACATGAAGTCATTTCGTCACAACATGTCGACAAAAGCTAGTTCATATCTATATGTCAATCCAATTAAAATGCGGATCCCGTTTTCACTGGTATGCTAAGAGTAATGCAGTGAGAGTTAGATATGAAAGTATGAAATTATTTGCTGCATATGAAATAGTTCATTCGTCTGAAGTGTGACCGCAGATGGTGCAGAGTTCACTAGAACATGAACTCTTATGGAATGTTGTCAGATCTTAAGCAGAGTAAAAACGGATCGAGAATAAGGATCTGCAATCTATGCATATATGTTGATATCACTAACGAGAACCAAGAAGAAAATACCAAATTTCAACATAATTACTATCCAATCTCGAATTTCATAAAACTATGACAAAATTAAAACACAAATTTACACGAGGCGGGGGGGGGGGGTTGAACGTTGTAATTTTGAATAAATCGTCATGCATGCGTCGGTCCGCTGTCCATCGTTGAACAACTCTTGAGAATTTGAGAATTTCTACATGGATCTATTTCAGATTTACTAAGTAGCTTCCCCTTGGTCCTTAGTTGTGTTCCTTTGATGATTGGACTAATCAGAAAAAAAAATGCTTTGATTTGACAAGCAACGACTATTATTGCTATGTTTAAGAGGCAATCTCAAATGTCATATTAGTAAGGGCAAGTGAAGATCAAACAATAGTGGGCACCATGATCCCTCTGGTGTTATTTAATCGCGAGTCTTCTGTACAAGTTTTTCGAGAAATATATATTGATGAAGACTTATTTCCCGATGTCAGTTGTGCTAATTTTTGGAAATATGGCGGGATCAAGAAACCGATGCTCTTTTTTCAAAGTGGATCACACGATATGAACATAATGTTTACATGGAATGGACATCAGTATATATATCATACCTATCAGTGATAAACAACACTATCGGAAGATCTGGTCTAGTGATACAAATATCTATAACTCTGCTCTTATTTGACTTCTTATTTTTTAGTTGTATTCAGATTAATTCATCATGTAGTTTTACTGTATCTAATCCTAACTTTCAATTGAAAAAAATGATATTCACCTGTGTGTGTTTGTTCAATCTATGAGTAATGTATGGACAGTAATATAGTCGCATATTTATGATGTAATATGCCATCATGAAATCGTATGTAAATAGTAATTAGAGGTTCACATTGCTGTCATTACTTTTTATAAATTAGCATATGAAGTGTAAACGGTGAATATATAGGTGTTAATGTCTAACTCCGGTGGATAAAACGCTTCACAATCTTCTCACCCTGTCATGTCATTCCAGGCGCCCCGGGAAGACATTTAGTAAAGAGCTGGCTATAAAAGTGTTTTCTTACTTGGATATTACAACTTTCTCTAATGTGGTTTTCTATTTCATACATCAGAAGCAGATATCTCCGCTTACAGAATAATTTGAAAGGGCCTGTTTCCAGTAATGTTAATTCTCCATAGGAGCCTGCCCCCGTATAATTTCTTACCTAGCTCAACTACTGTTTTTTTCTTTTCCGAAAAATAATTTTACACCTTTCCGACACCCAGATTTCATAATTTCAGTGAAAATGTATTTTTATCAAGTTGTCAATTTCAGCATCAAAGACATAAGTTCGTAAATAAAAGAAGGTTATCTCGAAATTGTAATTCGCAACATAGTATAAATTTCTTTTGATAAATATTTCCAAAACATCGTGTTTATTCATAAAACATAAAAAAAATATTCTCGGATGAAAATGCACTTGCAGAGACACAATTATGAAGAAAAATGCCATAAATTTGCAATTTTCTCCCGTTATATAGTTTTGGATGCAAATTTCCATCAGAAAATCGGATAGAGCTTTACTTGTTTCATATGTGTACCAAAAATCAGCTAATTCCATGTGGTGGAACGTTCTCATATCGCCGCCTGAATGTGGTTGTAAATTGAAAGAAAAGGGGAAATGAGTAACAACCTTGTCTGAAACCCTATTATATAGCTTATTTCATACAAACTTTTATACTGAATATCAGAACGGATATTTTCATGACAGTTTTATGATGTGTAACGACTAAATAAATAGTATCGATATAAAGATTTACACTGAGGACACCCTGATACATGAATACTGTTCTATCTCAAGCTGTCCTCTTCTGAATTTTCTGATCGTGTGGCCTTGTACATTTATCCGTATCTTCTTGTCTTTGTCTATACGTTTACGAAATCATTCACTCGACGCTAGCTATTCTTGTCTCAATTTCCTTGTTTTATTGTCCCATCTCCAAAGCGTTGTGGCTCTGTCAGGGTTGGGACCCTGACTTGTCTCACTTTCTTTGTGCCTGCCGACCACGCCACATCGAATAGATAGATTATCCATATGAAATACTTTATTTTGTTCTAAGTAATCAATCGATTCTGCGCTTCTTGGAGGTATTGAATGTGATTTATTATATTGTCTTGTTATTTTGTGTAATTATTTGTTCGTTATTTATCACACATTTTCGCATAATTGTACCCAACAACTAAGTAATAGCTGTTTACAGCAATCATCGGTGGCTTGCTATTTTGTTACTTTATCGACGCTTCATAAACCAATCGTTATTGTTTCAAGATGGAGGGTAAATGTGTTGGAGAAGAGTGTCAAGTATACTTCAAGAAACGTAGTGGCAATAAGAACAGAAGTGCACGCAATGTAAATAGTCCACAATATAAATGGCTCCTAGATACGCTGGTGCAACAAGGATTGATGTCAGCAAAGGAACAAGCATTTATGGGCCAGAAGTGCTACATGAAGTATCTTCGGAACAAAAATCAGCCTGAACCTGAACCCGAGCAGAACCAGGAAATAGAGGAAGAAGACGACTCCCCGTCCCATATCCTGCCGTTGCTGACCTTTCATGATCTTTTGAATGGATCATCTTTACACAAAAAATGCTGTCTCTGTCTTGTTACCTTTCCAAAAAATGGAACAAAATCATCAGTCTTACCAAAACGTGCAAGACATCACCTGATCTATTCACACAAACTGTGGTGTCCCACCTCATCCCGCGTCTGCTCCATTCACCTTATTGGTAACGACTTAAATCCGTCTACAGAGGTTGTCCTTGATGGTAGAGGTTCCTTGGAATCTCAGTTACCATCAAAATCGTCCGAAATCATTAATGACATCCGGTGTCGCACGTCCTTCCACAGAACCAGTCTGCGTTTACAATAAGCTTTTCTTCTCTTGATGACTCGGCATGCATGGCCTGGACAGGTTGGTCCAAAGATCAGTTCCTCGAAATCCACTCGCACTGTTCCCCATATCTTTCATCCGGTATATATACCAAGACTACACACGATGCTCTATTACTGTCAAGTGTGTCCAAAACTTTCCACTCCATAGTACAGGCATTAAACACATCGATAGTCCGAGGTTTTAGAGATGCCCTACCAGTTCTCGAAGCCTCTGGCCTCAATGCTAGCATGCCGTCATACCTGAAACCCGGTCAAAGTCAACATTCTGACGTCCAAGTAAATCTTGACAGAACTATCACCAAATCGAGGTGGATTGTGGAATCCTATCATGGTCGTCTGAAACACTGGACGTTCTTCCGAACGCAATTGGTGTCTAACAGCTTTATCAATGTCATTGAGGCTTTGCTTCGAACCGTCACAGCCTGTCTGAATGGTATTAGAGGACCGATCTACCAGAGATCTCCAGAGAGAGATGCCAAAGATAGGCTAATGGCTGAACGTATGAAGGACCGTTTGACAACACCGAATGGTTTAGCTCAGAGAGTCAAGATAGATCCGGATCTATCTAGACGGGCAAGGTCCGAGTTTGTCAAGATGGATGCATCTTCCGTACTGTTTCCCCGTCTCGATCTTGATTACTTGAGAACCATTACGTGTGGAACGTATCAGATATCTCTGGCTCCTGGTTACATCGCCGAACATTTAAGTGATAACGGAGACTATGAGGTGTGGGTTTACCAGCACTTCCCAGACCTTCTCCGATGTCAAATACATTCTCGACACAAAAGTCAAACGAAATATAACGTTTGGATACGGTTCACTGTTTCACCCGATGTTGAGGCCCCAATAAAGGACTACTACTGCCAGTGCCCAGTTGGAGAGAGAAGGATGGGAATGTGTGCGCACATCTCCAGTATCTTGTACTACCTTGGGTATTACAGGACGCTGGAAAACCCTCGACCATTACAACCACAGGTAAAGAAATTCCAACAAAACTTGAAATAGTTTTCCATGCGCCAACGGAGTGCATATGTCGAAAGTATGTTTGGGGCTCGATATGAAAGATCCCCGTTACCATGTGACTAACCAAACTTATAAATATAGGTATTATACAATCGCCCCCGTAGCTATGAACACTCCCGTAAATGCGAAAACCAACCAAAATCATAAGGAACACGTTTTGTTTGTTGTTCTGTCTATTTGTCAGCCAATGTCTTCAACCACGGGGACTTGTGAAGTAGCCATCTTGGATTTTTTTATGAAAAAGTGTTTCTCTCACTTTTTTTCATATCTGTGTACATATTCTCAACATACCGAGCAAATACTCTCGTTTTTTTGTTAATTATCTAAAGAAAGTCGAAAATCGGCAATTCAACCATAGGCTAATTCAACCCAACATTTGAAAATGTTCCACCACTTACATTTTGATGATTTTTCCTCTCATCAATAGCATATTACGTACTATTTAATAGGATAAAATGGTTTGCATCCAACACCCATAAAAGGGTGTATTATCTAAAAAAAACACAGTTTTTGTGTCTAAAATGTTATCATCGAAAATGGCATTTTTGAGATTGTTTCTTCCATAAAACAGCCAAATGGCGCGATGGAAACATGATTTGATTAGATTTTCATTAATATTTTACATAACTTGCACATTTTATCAACACTTAGACAGCTTCTGAAAGGTACAACTTTGAGGAGCCATAAAAAACAAACCAAGTGACCTAAATCTTTATACGTTATAGATTTGTGACCACAACGGCATGGGCAATGCACCACAAACAGGAAATTTGAATCAGAGAAGGGGCCGTTTTGGAAACCGGCCCTTTGACGTTTTTTAAACAACTAGTAATAAGTCTGTTTAACTGAAACTATCCTCTCACCAGCCACGTTTAATTCTAAATTCAAATTCAATTAAACTAAGACAAAATATGACAAAGAAAGACTTACAAATGAAAAGTACAAGGAGCATACAGTTAAATTTTCCAGAGAAGAAAGCGGCTTGTTTTATTGATGACATCCCTCATGTTAACATTGGTCAGTTCAAGTAAATGATGTCACGTTCCTAAATGAGAACGAGGTATACAACAACGACAACAACAGGCACGCTAGCGACCATCAAACACGTCTTACGTCATATAATAAAGAGAAATAGAATATGCTCAATTTCGCTATATTGCTGACATGTTGTACGACAGTCGTAATTCTGGGAACATACTTGTATGGTCCTAGCAATTTTAATATTATGCTCTTTGTATATTTCTCCATTGATTTAGATATATTTTAACGCAATACTCAGTGTAGTTCACAACCATGTATTTCCACTTTTTTTGATGCATTACGATACGACTTTTACAGTATAATACCCTTTCTGTTCTGTAATATTTTGAATGAATTTTATAAATACCAATAGGTTACTACTGTAAGTACGTGTACATTCAAGTCTAATTCTGTTTAAAGACATTTTTGTATATGTCACTAGAGAAAGGAATATAAATATGAACTCTCAGCTATACTTAATATTTTCAATGCGATTTCTAAAATGAATAAACATTTCCCCCATTTTGATAACTATACTTATCTGTACCCTTTACTTGTATATTACGGATTTTCCCTCATACCACATGGTCAGGGATAACCGTTGAAAATGACTTTTCTTATCGTTAGTTCGTTCAATTGATATTTCGATCCATTTTCAAAAAACCAATCGTTCGTTCGGCCTATTGTATATGTATAGCGACCGTTCGGCTCACTATGGCCGAAACCGAGTGTAGCCGAAGGAGCGGCAGTTTCGACTGGAGCAAACGGCTTTATCTTTCGATCGGCATCCAGACCTCCATCGGTCGTCCAAACAAAAAGAGGATACTTAGTAGTAATTCTAAGAAATGATAAGTTTTTTAGAGTGATCTATATTGGCCAAAAGATTTTTGGAGTCCTGTAAGATTAACATATATCACATATGATTGGAGTTATTGAAGCTTGACGCTTACCCAATCTGAAAGTGAATTCAACACAGTATGCTCTTGGTTCACCCACTTTCTCAAATACTTTTCCATGAAAGTCGTAAGTCTCTTGAAATTCACATACTAATTAATAGATGAGATTTGATAATTTGTGTCCTTCATGAAAAGGTAATATAGCTTATTTTTTGGTTAATACGTAAAGCCATGGTATTATATACCCATAGGCATAATGTGAGATACAACAACAACAGGTTTAATGAGTCGTTCATGTGCCATTAACATTTAGTTATTTCAGCATTCGTATGTGATTGAAATGTCTGGAGTAACGACGGGAATTGACGCGTATCTCTGTACAAGAAGAATGGAACGGAATAAGCTTTGACAAATTTCTGAAGTAAATTAATACGGATGTTAATAACATCCACTTCTTTGTTTACAAACTCAACATTAATGAATTGTTGAATGGCTGATGATGGCAATTCGTACAGACGGACGTAAAATTTTGTGCTTCATCATCAATACCTTTATAAATCCAAGCTAGCTGAACCCACCTGTATTTTTCTAACACGAAAAGAGAAAACGAGATGATGATGGACACCTAGCGGTTTCTGTAATGACTCCATAAGGTGAATAATCTTACACCGTCACAGTATATGTCATTCAATAATGCGTAAGTCTCCAGGTATGAATGAATGAAAGCATAACGTTAGCGTAACTGTATTTGGTACCAGACATATTTCCAACTGACCAAGCAGACATTGTGGTGTTACTCTTCACTTTGTCGACGGTACGGTGTGCCGAGTGTAGGGTTCTTATCATGTTGGCATTTTCAATCTAGCATATAGACGTTCATGGACATTAAAGAACTAATCAAATGTAAAAATGGTGATATATTGATTTCTACTCGATTCATAGCAGAACGTTGACCAATCATGCTTAATTTTAACTGCGTGAAAATAATTCCTTCTCCTCATTCAAAGTCTATAAAGAAACATCAAACCAGACATACAGACAGTTAATTAATTTAAAATGTGGGTTGGATTTTTGAAAAGGAGCCTTTCGCCAGTCTATGGTACCTGTGTTAGGTTTTTTGAAAGGGAGCCTTTCGCCAGTCTATGGTTCTATGTGTTGGGTTTATGACATCTTGTTTCGATGATAGTATTATGTTTTAGTATGTAAAAAACACTGGTGTATCATGAAGAGTATTGATTTTTTTTGTACATGACTCTCTGAAATGTTCCTTTACCTCAATTCGTGTATTTAATATAACACAACGAAACGTCTGACAAGATGGATCTAATATTAGTGGTTCATCATATTTTTTTCATACATCTATTAATCAACTCATGTTATAGATAAGTAAGTTATTGGAATATTTCTAATCACAACTACTTTACCTTTCACGATTCCAGTATCATATATCGTCTGCTGTTCTCTTACAAATATACAGGCAAGCAGACAAACATTCTGAACAGTCGCAGACTCCTGAAATAGAGAGAAAAACATGTCAATAAAACTAAACAAATCGCTATCTACGAAAGGTCACTGAAAAGGTAAGGCAAACATTTCTTTTCGCCTTTTGTGTCCGAATATTTCAACTCGAAATAAACAGTCTAAAATGTGTCTGTTCAGGTTTTTGTTTAACTTCCTCGGAATACTCGGAATATCCGAAATAAAGACTATCTTCATGTATTATGTGGCATTTTAGTGGCTCTCTTCAAACATCTCACAGAATTGCATCCTAGACGGTAGAATTTAACTGAGTTTTCCATAGCTTACTGAAAACTCTATACCCTAATAATGGGCACCAAGCAGATATCAACAAATACAACAAAGCCATATCAGCGATTGACGTTTGTCAGGAAAAACTTATTTAGTTACGGTTTCAATCTTTTCTTAATTTTATCAAGAAGTGTTAAAAATCTCATTCGTTAAAATCTCTGCATTTTATGTGTAATTACCAAACACATTTTCTGCTAGTGTTTCAAAAATACAACGAACAAACATCTTTATGTAAGCAAACATGTAATCATACAAACTGTCAGTTTATATCAATTACCGTAATTGGTCCCGATGAAAGCGCGCAAAAGGAATCTTCTTTTGCGAAAACCCAGAGCACCAATCGCGAAATCGACACCCAATCGTCAAGTGGCAAGACAGGTTTTTACCACTGCACTGATCAATACATCATGACTACTTTACTCCAAAACGTCAGCTGTATGTAACACGACACGACTAGGTAGATATTCATTAAGCTATATCAGTGACACCAAGGGACGAGCCTAGGATGGTGTTGCACCTATTATCAATCTATTTACGGTTTGGTCGTTGCTTGTATTGCGTTGAGGTTGAAATGATTTATTCATTTAACCACTCTTCAACACTTATAAAGTCGAGAAAATGGTAATTCAGGGAAAGTGGAAACGGCCTCAAAGTTGTAGTGACAGTCAAACAAACACCTATATATATGAGATTATATAACATTTAAACACACTATGAGTTTATATTAATTGCTGTGTAGGGCATTTATTGGAAAGGTCTTTCAGCAAACTATTGGCTAACCTTTGGGAACTAACTGTGCTTCTATTCTGGCTTTTGTTTTTGTTTCATAAGAGGCTGAATTTGTCGAAGGGCTATTTAAATTTAGTCTCAAAGACCTAGCAAAGTTGTTCAATTCTACCCTCAGAGATATTGACAAGAAATTCATTGATAACGTTTATCGTATATACACAACAGAACTGGAAATCAAACAAACGACTGCCTCTTCTAACATCAGCCGATTATCTCGATCAATATGGACAACTTTCAACCAAGCATGATGATAAGCGTGATAATTTCAACTTCCCAATGATGAATTTTCTATTTGTTGATTCCCAGAATATTTCTGCCTCCATAACCTTTGGCGTTTATATGTCGCATTTCATTTGACATTCAAGGTCTGTTAAACACATGCTAAATGTGAGACATTAGGAAAGAGATAATAAAAAACGAGAAAAGAAATTATTAAATTGTTAATATCGTCACCCCTTAAAACCATCCTATGGGGACGGCCAATCACGGTGATTACTATGATTAAACCTTCGCGAAAATGTGGCTAAACTCCACAGTCACAAGTCTTACCACAAGTAAAAAAGCCCAACTCATTTCTACAGTAGGACATAAGTATATGCTGTAATATAATTCAGTGTCTATTTGACATGAGAAAATTATTCATTCAACTGGGTTTTTTGGACATACAAAATCTGTCTTGTAATGTCAACGCTGAACTATAATTTGTATGCAATTAGTCGTAGTTCTGCATTAGGTCAACAAGGACGATGTAGAAGAGCTTAAAACTGCGAAGCAGTGCCATCATATAAAGACATTGCCGAGGGCTTCAAGTATCGTTCTACAACGCTCAAGATTTTCGCTGTCGCCTTCAGTTTTTATTACAATTCTTATATTTACTTCATTGATAAGTTGAATTTCGGTTGATATATTGCATCTTTATAATGTTACGCTTTACTATCTATACACTTTTGCCAGCGATGTTTAAGAGCCTCAATGCCACTTTTAAAGAAGTCCTTTTCTTGACCATTTAGAAAGTCCTCCACTGCATGTATCACGTCATCATTTGAACGAAAGCGTTACCGGAAATGACTTTTTTAATTTTGGAAATAGATGCAAGTCTGAGAGAGCGAGATCGGAAGAGTAAGGCGCATGCTCAATTAATTCAAAACCACAATTGCTAACGACGCGATGGCTATGATAAACTAATGAACAGGAGCATTGTCCTGGTAGAGTTTTCTGCGGTGCTTTAGTTTAATATTTTTCTTACTGACTAAGATGTGATGCATGATATGCGACATTGATTGTTTGTCCCTTTAGTAGAAATCTAATATTAGAATACCATCAGCATCCCGAGAAAGTCAGTCCATAAACTTTCGACCTGATGGAACAGTCTTTGCCTTCTTTGACGCGTGTCAACCAGGGTGCTTTCATCGTTTTGACAGCCATTTGGCAGCTGGGGTGAAATAATGGACCCATATTTAATCCATAGTCGCCAACACTTTTGCAGTGTTAGCAGGATCTGCCTCTGAAAGTTTCAGATTAGCACGCAATAAAGTCAGCCTGGCGTGCTTCTGATCACTTGTTGGAAGTCTTGGTACCCAACGGGCTGAGAGTTTTCTCATTCTCGTTCCGTAAGAATGGAATGTACTTTTTCCTATGAAATCCCAAATGTAGTAACTATACATAATTCTGTAACTCGCCTATCTGCCAAAACAATATCATTGACCATGTCTAGTGTTGCAACAGTGACAAGCCTTCCAGGACAGCGGGCGTCATCCCCAAGGCTCTGCCTGCCACGCTTAAATTCCGCCACCCACCTTTACACTATAGCATATGAAGGGGTATAATCCCTAGTGCTGCTACCATATCTGTATGGATATCCTTCGGTGCTAGACCTCTGTTGTGCAAATATTGAATCACTGCTATTTCAGCGATTTTACAAAAGTTGCTTGCCTTGTTCACTTTAGACATAAGCTGACCAAATGAAATCAGTCTACGGGTACACAACCTAACATAGACAGGAAATAGAAGATCTAAAAAATACATCCCTGCTCAACGTCTTCAATACAAGGCTCAAAACGTATGAATCTGCCCTCGTAGGTATTTGATTGTCCATATTTTACGGTAGAAGGTACTATTATTTGGTAATCGCCTTGTGCGTGTATGTCTTCGTATCAATCACATTGCAATCATGATATTCTTTGTATAGAATTAAATTGGACAGACTTAGAATTTGATAAAAGTAGGTGTTAATTATTCCTGACGATTCATAAAAGGAAACGGCTTTATGATGCAGTTTAAATCGATTAGTTCTAATGTATAATATCATCCATTTTGCTTACATGTGCTATTCTCTTGTTAGTCTGTTGTACAATTCTTGTAATATTTTGTGGTTTTTGTTTTGTGTACGTGGAATTTTCGTTTTGTTATTACAATCTAATCGTTAAAATGTGTTTACACGTCAATGTATTGAAAATGACTCTGTCTAAGAAATGGTATTTCATAAAGTATCCTAGTCAATGTGTTGGTCAGGAGATCGGGTGACACATTTTGACAGCTGTTGTGGTGACAAAATTGTGCTGGTAAACATTTTTAGTAAAATATGGCGGCATTTACAAACAGAGGACGTTGTAATTTAATCGCAAATCTTGTACAATGGTCTCTTGCGATCAGATTATCTAATGTAGTAAATATGTACTTGGAGTCGTTGTTGTGTAGTCGTTATGGTCATTTATTTTATGGTTCTTTTTATATAAATACTTATTTAAATATTGTTTGCATTATTGACGTTGTAAGTTTTCGTATGATTTCATTACGTCAAAATAGTATTATTTTTCTATTCGTGAAGAGCTTGTCATGCATCTATGGTGAGAATGTCTTCTATGTCAATTTTTAACGAGAAGGCAGATCTTAAATCTAACAGTAAACTCATTTTCTTTTTCAAAAACATTGCCGAATGCTATTAATTAATATAACTCATATTAAAGCATCTGTTGTAGACTCACGCAAGCTTTGTCACATGTAACGTTCATTTGTCTCTCAGCTGTGTCTTCACAAGTCTTCCTGCACTGAAATATACAATTAAAACACAAAACTTTGCGATTTTTTTGTGACATTTCGAAAATAAAATTATTGGTCAAGATATGACTCAAACATATCATATCCAGAAATATTAATGTTAATATTGATTTTCTAATGACTGATATGAATACTGTACCTCATTACAACACAATTGAGAAGAAGATGTATATCTATCATTTAAACATAATGCATTTATTATGTTACAAAAACACTGATACATACTTGTTTACATTCAGCATTCCAACATTCCCTGGCCGTATATACATTGTACAGCTTGCTGGTTGGAAACGAATTCTGAACCCCGTACTGTTTAACGTAAACAAATAAAAAGAAAATAACAACACGTCAATATATTTCCAACTCAAATTCAATAGAACTTGGGCATAATGGGAAAAAAATAAAGATTTACATGCAGCCTCCTGAAATGTACAATGACACCAACAATTGTTCTATTACCAAAAAAGCCAACGTTGAACATCTAATATATCTCTCGGGTTATCATCCATCACCTGTTGTCTACTGAATACTATTTTATGAACAAATAACAGTTCAATTTTTTTATTGAAAATTATGTACAGCAATAGAAAATGGAACAAGAAATAGTATTTGTGCTAGCACGGTAACCCAGCTCAGAGACTGCAGCTTGTTATTTGTTGTACATGTCTTATAAACAAAAAAAACAACAGTGAAAAGAAATGTTGTCAAATGGTCATTTATTAAATGACAGGAACATTTCAAATACAACCATAATATCAATCACTGTTGTTATATAATATATAGATCTGAATGACATTAACTTCAGTCTATATGTACAACAAAAAGATGGGGTACAAATTATCGGCATACAAACATAAGTTTGAATTTAAAAAAAAAAAAAAAAAAAAAACCAAAAAAAACATGGATATATAAGCTGGCTCAAAACAAAATGTGGGAGTGTGGTATGGGTGGGACTTCGAAAGATATTAAACGTAATCACAGCAGCAGAAAAATTATGAGGAGTGATGAAGATATGACGCGGTCAAAATCACGAAGAGGTGCGCGCCTCGCTGATTGGTCAATCCAGGCCCTGACCGCCTAGCATCACGGCTACTGCCGCTGGTCACGTGAACAGCCCCTCTGACTGGTCAAGCTAAAACCGTGACCGCATAGCGAGTTGCCCTACACGGCCCTCTTAGCTAACACGTGCGCACACATAACATCCAAATAACAAGAGATACAAACTACATAGGGTAACAGATGGTCACCAGGTGGTCAGAGTTCAAGATCTTATTCCAAATAACAAAATCATGCAAAAGCCAACTTACATAACATTATAATGTGAAGAACATCTGTAGGATTATGACAATTATACATATATATATACATGAATATATAAAGTAACCATCTAACACAAATGTATTTATTTCATGAAATAAATTTTATTTGTGTTAGCACGGTAACCCAGCTCAGAGACTGCAGCTTGTTATTTGTTGTACATGTCTTATAAACAAAAACAACAACAGTGGAAAGAAATGTTGTCAAATGGTCATTTATTAAATGACAGGAACATTTCAAATACAACCATAATATCAATCACTGTTGTTATATAATATATAGATCTGAATGACATTAACTTCAGTCTATATGTACAACAAAAAGATGGGGTACAAATTATCGGCACCGATGAGGGGCGCAAGATACATATGTATGGAGGGATACAGGATATGTAGAAAAATGCACCTCATCACCCCATCCAAAGGATGCACATTTGCTTTTAGAGATTCCATATGCCTAAGATAACAATGCCTAGTACTTTCATATCTGTAATTATGACGCCCTGAAACTGGTACATCACTCTAACAGGGGCTGAGAGAGTCATTACTCAGAACATGGCTCCTTAGAATATATTAGTAACAACAAGATGAAGAAGGAAAACATAGATTTAAGACTTCGAAGGCTAGACAGATATTTACACGACACTAACAAATTTAAGACAGAAAAACAATGGTGAAAAGCGATGCTTGAAATACTTAGTAAACAAATTAATTTGAAGAACATCTGCGGTCCAAATTTGGCAATGTTGAAGAGCTGTTTATTTTCAATAAATTGTACAAAAGACCAAGAGACAAAATCCCAGTTCAATGCAAATAAAATTAGGAAACTTTAGAATCGAGTATTGAATTAAACTGCATGATAACATATGTTTTGTCCTCTTGGGTCTCGTTATCGATACAAAGGGCCTAAATTTTAAAACGTATAAGACGACCGAGGGAAATACTGCTCTGTCAACACATATCGGTGTTGAAGGGATTTAAAAGCGCATTTTAGTGGTCATGTAAGGACACTGCATTCAAATGACTTTGGCGCTTTCAACGATGAAATTACAAGCAAAATCGCAATCGGAAGCTGTAAATTAGTAGATAGAAAAGATTATGCTTGCAGTGTTTACTATGTTAGTGCAGGAAATGATTATAACTGTTTTGGATCGATGTGTTTTCTCTAGGGCGCTGTATATTCAATCTATTAATTTTGTTGTACTGTCGAATCAACACTCAGGTGTTTATGCGAGGAATACCTTCGATATCTATTGACACGTGAGAACTCATGTCTGTCGTATATTTTGTTGAACATTCACAATTCCAAATATTACAAAATGATTCTTGTAGCAACAAAACTAAATCCTGAATATCTGCGTTACATGCTTTCGTACCACGCAATGAGATGTTAATTCGATCACTTACAAACCCATTCCATCTTTCACAGATATTGCACATGCATTGTGTGGCATGAAGTGGAGACTAAAATTTTCCATTTCTGTCCTAGTAGCATTTCATTATACTATCTCACTTTGTCGCTTCTGGTCCACTATTTCACGCCAAACGATGAAATTTACGGGTTGTGTCATTTGTCGGCGACAGATAAATGTCTATTCTTGGGCACATAAAACAATAAGGAAACATCAACAAGTCTAAATAATCAAAATCCAACCTCAAATTGATTAAAACTACGGCAAAATATGAAAACAAATATTCCAGGAAGATTTCTGGAACTTCCTGCAAGGAGAATTAGTTCAGGTGTTCCAAAAGAGTAAGCGTCCTCTGCCTTATCGACATCACCCTCCATATAACACATGGTCAATCAAAGTCAGTAAAGTCCCGTTCGTAAATAAGAACAAGGTTTATGACACTCAACCAACCGGAAAACTAACGAGCATTATACACGTCCAGCTTCATATCGCACAAAGAAATAAAATATTTCTCAATATGATCACTATGACGACCTTAAAACTTCTGATAAATCTCAGCAATCTGCAAACCTTAAACTCTACCTGCAATTTTCTTGCGACCTGACGCCTCACTTATATATGGGTGGTAAAGAAACCTTAGAAATTTTATTATTATGTGGTAATTGCAATATCATGATTGATTTCTATCGTCCCTGTCCTCTTTTTTCTTTCCTTCTCTTTTGTCAACCGTTGTCGTATGACCCTTTAAGGACAATGTTTTCCAAATAAAGAAAACCACGAAGAAAATTCTACAACAGCTTAGTATATTGTGTTGGTTTTGTTTAATTTTAAATAGTATACCACACACATTGTATGAAAATAAGTACATCGTAATGAGGTCAATAACTGCTACCTCCGGTTGAGAGGAGAATTTCCTAATGGCTTATATTTTCACAATAAACATATATCAATGCTTCCCATATATATAGCAAACGACCCAATTATTGAACAACCCTGTTTGCATAATAAAATGCTTGTGTACATTGCTCCTTGTTTGGCAAAGGAACAAATACAATTTTAGATGTAATGGAAGTTGATAATTCAAAGATAAATGCTGTGAATAGTCATCGATCATTTTTCAACGAAACTAAATGTAATGTAATACATATCATTTGCCATTGTCTAAATTGTGAAAAAAATATCCTGTATGTGCCCTTTACAGCGATGATGATAAATACTCTGCACTTTCAGAACCCTTCTTTTTGCAATTAGTAAGATTTTGTCTCCGAATACTGAATGGATATGGAAATTTCATCTTGATATCACGCTGCATTGCTTTAACCGTGACAGGTTTAGCAGTAGATCATACTCGGGCACAGACAACAGACGCAACAGTCATTGATTAACCTGTATGATATACAGTAGGTACCCATGTTAAAGAATATGAATTGATTCGATAAGGGGGACAGAAAACAAACCATTTTCCGTTCAGACGTTCAACTTTTTTATCACTTAAAAGTAATTAAGACCGTAGCTCGGCCGAATTTAAGTGTTACAATGCTAAAGACACCGCTGATGTTGATTGGAGCTTTCTCAAACTGTGACACTGCAATGCATGAAAGCGGGGTAATTCAGATATCCGCATGTTGTCCCAAAAGTTACTTTCAAATGACATCATAAAATCTTGACATCGGGGATGTTTCCAAAATTAAGTGTCACTAAAACAGAAATCGAGAGAGAAAGGACGTATTCATAAAATGTTAATACTTTTGAGGATGATCTTCATACAAAAGCGACGAGACTACAGTTGAAGATTAATAAATAATTTTTATGGTGTATTTCCTAGATAGTATATACTGAAATAACTCTCAGATGAATTAGGTACCACAATTCAAAACCCTACATGATGCAAGAGCATTAATTGGTCCGAGTACATTGAAGTATTATTACTTTCGGACGACCTTTTAAAAAAAAAATGCAAGCACTTTTTTGAGCATTTGGATTAAAACACACTAACGTGGTAATGTAGTCTAACATTAGGATTTCTGTAAATGCAACCAAGTTCATTCGTTCCGTGACCTGACTTAAACACGTAGCTGCATTGCAGGTGACAACGTACACCGACTATCTGTTCGTAGATTTGTACAGAGTATAAAGTAGAAACGTGGAAAGAAATGTGTTTGAAAATCTCCATTTACTACAAAGAAATTTATCTGCCAGTCAGTCATGAGTATAAACCTCGTTATCATGATATCTTTCATTGTATTTATTTCTCTACATTCAAGGACAAAATATTCATAGATCCCTTTTCTGCTGCCAAAACTTAACACTAAATCAAAATCGATGTTTCAGCCATCATTGCGCGTAATGATATAGATGCTGCTGTAAAGAATGAGGGATCTACTATACCTCTGTGATAACCCTGGGCAGAATATATCAAACAAATTCTGATACACGGCATCTCAGGAACTAAATCCGTCAAACATAATGATTTTTCGGTTGTGGCTTCCCGACGTAATAATAGCAAGCTCTTATCATCCTTTGCTGCAAGGGGCCATTTATTATGATATTTCATGTCCTTCGATTAATTGACATGATTCCTAGAATGAAGATACATTCTGATCAAATTACAGATTTGTATTGAAAGGCTGAAAATGCTATCTGGTTGTTTTTATTTTCCCTTGACACGTTTCTTAAATCACTCTTTTTTGATTCATAGCTATCCCCTATGTTTGTATCTATAACAGCGTTTGAGGATACGGCACGGAAATATTAGAACTTTGGCACATTTTGCTGGTGTTGATTTATGCAAAATTGGAAATAAAATGAAACTGAATATTAGAATTTCATTTGTAAAAGATTCTTGCTATAGACATTTGAAGGGTATTTAATATCCCTTATTTTCCTCTTTACACCCTTTTTTATTTTTAAATCGATGTATCAAATCAAAATATTCTACGTTGTAAGGTTTCCATCATGCATGACACAGAATAAGGTCGATGGACAATGATAAGTACTAATTGTTGAATAAAAGCTTTTATGAGTTATTATTTCTCTCGTTTTGTTTCCCAAACGATCGATTTTAATGCAGGTCAATTCAACACATTGACCGTTTCACAATATTTTGAATCATTTCAAAAACATAAAATGTTTACCATAAGTACTAATGACAATATCTATATCTTTATCATCATTAAAGAGACTATGAAACAAAATGCTATTTTGATAGCAAGCTTATATTCAAAACTCTTGTCTGCCCAAATGAAAACCCGCGAGGGGTCTTGCTATGGGTGGAAATGAGAGTACTCTGAGAAAACCCACGTGGTTTGATCACTCTGCCTTCTCACGTCCGCTCGGGAAATCGAACCCCGAACGTTTAAGTTAATCGGTATAAAGTGAGTGGGTAACCAATGCTCCATCCGATCACGCTCAGAGAATATTTTGATTTTAGATTACCGAAATAGATGAAATCTGAAACTTACTGAAAATATCATAATAGTAACATATCATTTCAATCGACAAAAACATTGATATATAGATATTTTTAGAAAATACTAACACTATTTATGAATTCCTATATATCGAAATCAATTTCATGCAATGTTGACAGTTTCATATTGTTGAAAGAAAACTATCATGCGAATGGATAACTTTTATGATGTCTATATTTCGTTTAGACGTGACCTAGGCATTTACATTGTTATACAATAGAGATATTATAAATAACCAAAATAGTTTGTCACAGCGGTATCATGTGATGTGTAAAGGGCAACTCAAATGTCCTTCTGTTAAATAATTCGTATAATGTTACCATTTTATTGTCATCATTAGGGGCATGGAAACGATTACGTCAAAATAGCTGTTCCACGTGACGGAGAGCTTAGCATATCGCATTGAAATGCAATGTGATATCTACCTACAATGATTTGTCATTTGTACTGATTATAAATATCGTATTACGACAATTCGTTGCTTTCAACTTACTTAGACAGAGACAGCTACAGTTGTCGTAACTCTATATCAATGACACAATTTATATTTTTGGTATGACAAATAATAAGAATAAGAGTTTAAAATTTGTTTTGATTCCTTTTAATCGATTTTTGTGGTTTAATGAATATAGCGGTACATTTATAATCAATAAATAAAAGGGATTTTTAATGTTATTGATACAAATTATGCTAAAATAGATAACCTGAACTAACATTGCTTTTTCCAAATGACCACAATTTATAGATAGAAATAGTAAAAACTTACCATTTCAAGGCATTTCGAGGTGCACTGTGCATCAAGCAGGTCCATTTTTAATTCAGAACCATTATCCAGACACTGAACTTTAACAAACCAAGCATGAACTATCGCAAGAAACATCCACATCATCAGCATGGCCGAAGAGCACACTGCGTACCTACTGTCATCAAGTGAGCCTCTTTACTGAGTGAGGGATCTACCTGTGTGATGAAACAAGCCAATACTGTAGCTGCGCAGGCTAATGTGGAACACGCACTGAACTAAAAATGTTCTAATGTCCAGAATTAGAGTAACAAATATATACGGCAAGTAATACATTATTGTCATATGACTCGTTTTGAAAATCCTGCAATGGGAAAAGGAAATACTCACACAGAATTCATCATATGTTTTGATTTACATACACAATTAAAACATTTTTGCCTTTACCTTCTGTTTTCACATAAATGTAATCTACAGGCTGTGCCTATTTGGATTGGATGTAATTGTTGGCCTTTATCTAGAAGTATATCACTAAAATATGATGTCACACGAACATATGATATCTCTGGTTGTAAGATATACTAAGTAAGTAAACCGACTGTCAATTAAAAAGCCGAGCCAAAGTTTGGATACCATCCCGGAACATCCGGTAATACTCGCTTTGTATTTTAGGAAAGGTCATTGTGAAATACATTCTTTTTATATTTTAATATGGTTTTAATCTCCTGAATTTTGAATTAAGATATTGTTATTATGTCGTTACTTCACACCTTTGATTACCAGGACTTTACTCTTAAATGTGACCATTTCAATTTCCTTATATTATATTATTTAATATCCAATCTTTGGCGTTTACATCACGCAGTTAATTTGATTTCAAGGACTTGATCCCAGTATCAAAATTGTCGGTCGTCATAATGATCTCAGATGGAAATATTCAATATTTTGTTTTCTAGTGCGATATGGAGCTAAATCTAGGTTTTAATCTTTACACATTTCTTCATTTTTGTTATGATAGTATTACAAAGAAAAGTTTTATGAAGCAAATTGTTCAAGAAACGTTTTTGGGAACGGCATGCAGCCGTAAAGAGTCTTAGAAAATTCTTATATGATGATTCCATAGAAATTGACCTCATCAATATTAAATCTATGAAATCTAAATAAATATGTATTTTAATTGTACAATTGTTACACACAATCAATGTCAGCCTTTAAAATATGAATTTTTATCGATTATTAAAATATGATGCTTTCACGTCAAGGAAGGTTTTTCCGTATCTTTGTCAGAAAAAACCTCATAGACTGGTTTTAATGACGGGAATGCTCTTGTACTCGTGTCTTGCTTATAAAAGAGGTTTCATTTTGTTGAAAATGAATGAATGCCTGCAGGAGGTTTGATGGCCTGTCAATATTGTGAAAGTAAGTGATGTTTGGAGTCGAGGAATACCTAATTGTTGATAATACGATATGTAGATGACTTGGAATCCATATTTCTGTTATTCTTCTCTAACCAAACAAATTGTTTTCATGGATATTTGTGGATCATCTAATTACAGTTATTGGTATTAGTATGTAACGTCAGATCTTTTGAATGTTTTCCCACCAAAATCGACTGGTAATGTCACAACAACTGCGTAACCATTGACATGGTGAGAAGGTGAATAAGACCATGTTTTCCAGAAGGAAAGGCGCCATCTGCTTAATCGACGATACCTGCTAAGTAATTTTTGGTCACTCAAAGTAGGCTCTGTCACAAGATCAATAACCATGATATCGTGTATAATTGCTATGTCGACCCCATCTTCTTTCGAATTGCACAAGGAATATACTCTAATGAGATTAGTATGGATATCATTAACCTTAGCAATAGTCTCATCAATCTACATCTCTTTATACAGCTTCCTACCTACAAGTAATATTCATTTCAACCATTCTTAATTTTCCGCAGTAATTTGGCTACGTATAGGTTAAAAGCTTATAATGTACAACATGTAGGTATCTCGTAGCCCCCGTTTTGTGTTAAATTGGACAACAGATCGTGCCTGCCAATTATTTTATTAATATTTTGGATACTTTGTTATATATCGTTATTGATAACAATATCCCGGATATTACAATGGCCTGTTATGCCCTCATCCATCATACATTTCCATTTCCAAAGTGAGGTAAAACAGTCTAATTGTAACATGGAGGTGGGCAGTACGGATCATTAAAGGCTCTACGGCTACCGGACTTCATAATTCTGGATAAGATGTACAGATATTTTCTTTTTGGTGGTGCAATGTTATGAACATACCAGTGATATCATACAGGGGAATACTCGTAGGTAAGCTGCTAACTGGTGTGTGTGATAAGCAAAATATTTTTCACCACACAGGGAGAGAAAACACGGGGTAAGGTGATAATTATAATGTGTCTTTCACTTTGAAATTCTTAGGATTACTCTAACTGTTTATTGAAAACTGTGTTTGATACATCAGTTATAAGGTTAACACTGTTAGTAGGGAAATATGTGAATAAAATAATGTTTACTTTGATCGAAGAAAGCCTTTGTTATCTTTTATAGTAAACTTCTGCAGTCCAATATTGCAATCCAATATTTAATATATTGAACAGTTATAGGTACCTTACTGGATTTCTAAAGATGACTTATAAGATTCATACTCTTTATATTTACATGTAATGGATTTCAGAAACATGGATTATGTTACAGCTATATTTTAATCCATTGAAATTGAATGAGGTAAACTCTGCTAGTGTTTAATAATCCTCAGGGTTTGACGTAATCCTGCATGTCATATTTTCACTAGTAGGCATAGTGAAATGATACAGAATAAGGACATGTACTTGCGTTTTCGGAAAAAAATATTGCCTGATATTAAAACATTTTATGATTGCGCCATAAGTATAGGTAATGATAGTATCCCTATTCGTTTATTTGTAACATCAAATTTGACAGACGTTACTTTATCACTATTGAACTCTAGCACCACTAACAAGTTAGTAGAATTGACTACAGTACATTGTTACCATCTTGTGTACTTTTTGGTCTTTAATCTCTTTACCATCTCGTCACTCTATTTTCGACCTTAGTGTACATAGGATTACGGTGAAGCCGAAAAGGTTGATCGATGCCGTACCATCCTGAACACTACGTACGTCAGTCCTAGTACACTTCTCATTTGTCTGATGAAGGTGACCGTGTAGTCATCGAAACGTCACACTCAAATCTTCTACTGATTGTGTTATAAAAAGTTCTATTCTATTGACATTATCAACCTGATGAAAATGTTCAGGAACAACTGTATGAAGTAGTTCCATTCCTCATTTGACCTTACCGTATCAAATTTTGTATCTTTAGTGAAAGAAGCTATTCAGGAAAGGGCTTAATATAAGTTGGCCAACTTGTGCCCAATTCCAATGTATATATTGATACAATAAAATATGTTTAAGTCAAAAAGAAGCTATTCAATTATGTACATATGCATTTTGCTTTGTCAATTAAGATGTTGTCATGTCAAGAAACATATTTATCATTTTATTAAGAAAACGTTTAATTTACCAATTTACCTAGTCAAATGTTCTGGTAATATGTAAAATAGCATGAAAACGGTATCATAAGGAGCGGTAAGCAATGAATTAAATATGATAAAGAATGAGAAAAAAGCATGACGGAAGCAATGCGCTGCAGTTTACCGAAATAGAAGGAATTATTTATTACTAAAGATAGAACGAAGGTTCAACCTTTCAATGAGTAATGTCATACATTGTAAAAACCTGATATGTTATTGCAAATAGTTATGAAGACAGTCACCTGACGAATTACATAGTAATATAGTTGCTAATGACATATATCAGTTATTTCTTGGAGAAGTCGGTGATGGGTTGAGCTAAAAAATAAAAAAATACATCAACCTAGCATGTAATCGTTGAAGCCATGGAGACGTGCTTAGAGTACTTATAATACAATTTTCTGAAAATAATATTGGATCTCTCCCTGCAGCATCTATGGCAAAGAATCTGAAATAAAACTAGAGATATGCCTGCAGAAGTTAAGGCAAATATCATGAAAATAAATTGAGATCTGCCTGCGGAAGTTAAGGCAAATATCATGAAAATAAATGGAGATCTGCCTGCGGAAGAATGGTTAATGAATCTGAAATAAAATGGAGATCTGCCTGAGGAAGTTAAGCCAACGAAGATTTGCTGCAGATTCTATTGAAATCTGAATTACATATAATTATGAATTTACAGGGAGGACATGACAATTAACCATGATCACATGATGGGCACACAATTGACAAAAGGAGGAATGAAATAATAAATTACCTATATAAACAAGAATTTTTAAAATTTCACTTATCATATTTGTTTTTGTAAACTTTGCATTAAGACAATGACCTATGTAATTGGTTTTACATTTTTCTGTTTGAAGATCCTTAAATATCAACAGACTTGTATGACAATAATAAATTATCATAATTCAATCAGAACTTGACCAACATCGTGTTATTTAACAACATAACACTTTCCATTAAATATTCGACCTGTTCATGACGACGGCATCACAAACGTCATGTCTGATTTCGAATAATAGTTACATGAAATTTCATGTTTACTAAATACTCTTTGACGGCCGAGTACAGTTTTGATAAATGCCACGGTAATATAAAGAAAACGCCATTGCCGTAACGTTTGTAATATATAAGTAACTACTCTCCTACGAATCGGACAAACGAAATCGATAGTGTGTGTAGACGGCATGCGAGCATCTATCCGGATCTATTTTGATGAACTGAGATTTGTTGACAGCTTCAAGTACACCTGCAACAATGGCGCGCCTGGTGCAATATCCTTTCGGTTAATGGTTCCACACTGAAAAATCAATTTGTAATTTAAGTGGAAATGTTCATCGCGGCTTACAGGTCAAATAAAGTTCAATAATAAGACAACGCTTTGGAATGGCCCTCGTATAAGGTACAATTATAACTTTATAATGATTTTGTTTATACAAACAAGAGCACTTTAACGATATTCAATTAATTTTTCTCGATTTTACTTGATCATTGTCCATGCAACATCCATGGACATTTGAAGTCAAGAAAGACAGAAAGAAAGAGTTGAACAGGATTCAAAGTGTTACAATA